TAAATAGAACTCAAAATTAGAAAAACATTAGTATTTAACTTAGCACCAAAAAAGAAAGTAGTAGACCTAAGCCTAACAAAACTACAAACCTCCAAAGAAAGATATCAAAGAAGGCCTATAAAATGGAGAAAGATTTCATATTGTAAGGAGACTCAGACCGGCACCGCGGCTCACTAGGCTAATCCTCTGCTTGTGGCACCAGCACCCTGGGTTCTAGTCCCGGTTGCTCCTCTTCCAGTCCAGCTCTCTGCTGTGGTCCGGGAAGGCAGTGAATGATGGCCCAAGTGCTTGGGTCCCTGCACCCGCAGGGGAGACCGGGAGGAAGCACCTGGCTCCTGGCTTCGGATCAGCACAGCGCCAGCTGAAGCAGCCTTAGGGGAATGAACCAATGGAAGGAAGACCTTTTTCTCTGTCTCTCTGATTGTCTATAACTCTCTCTCTGTCTCTCTCTCACTGTCTAACTCTGCCTGACCAAAATATATATATATATATGACAACTCAATGATAAAGTGCAATTTATTTATTTATTTATTTATTTATTTATTTGACAGGCAGAGTGGACAGTGAGAGAGAGAGAGAGAGAGAGACAGAGAGAAAGGTCTTCCTTTTTGCGGTTGGTTCACCCTCTAGTGGCTGCCGCGGCCGGCGCACTGCAGCTGGCGCACAGCACTGATCCGAAGGCAGGAGCCAGGTGCTTCTCCTGGTCTCCCATGGGGTGCAGGGCCCAAGCACTTGGGCCATCCTCCACTGCACTCCCGGGCCACAGTAGAGAGCTGGCCTGGAAGAGGAGCAACCGGGACAGAATCCGGCACCCTGACCGGGACTAGAACCCGAGGTGCCGGTGCCACAGGCGGAGGATTAACCTATTGAGCTGCGGCACTGGCCAGTGAATTTATTTTCAAATTGATCTGTAGATCAAAATCAAAATCCCAGAAAGCAATTTTGTGAATACTGACAAGCTGATTATGAAGTTCAGATAGAGAAGTAAAAGTTTTGGGAAAACAACTCAGTGCTGAAGAAGTCCAATTTCAAGACTTAACATGAAATCACAGCAATCAAGGGAGTGTGGTACTGGTGTAATAGACAATGAAGAACAGAACAGAGTCCGGAGGTGGATCTATGTATATATAGTCAAATGATCTTTGGCAAAGGAACAAATCAATGCAATGGAACAAGTATTTTCAATCTGTGTCGCTTTAACAGCTGGGCATCCATGCACAGAAACAAACGGAATCTAGACACAGTTTTATACCCTTCACAAAAATTAAAATAGATCATAGACCTCAATGTAAAATGCAAAGCTATAAAACTCACAGAAGATAACGTAGGAGAAAACATGTATGACTTTGGATGTGGTTATGACCTTTAGATATAACACCAAAGGCATGATCCATGAAATAAATAATTGATAAATCACTGGACATCAGCAAAATTAGAAACTATTACATGGAGGCCGGTGCTGTGGTGCAGCAGGTTAAGGCCCTGGCCTGAAGCACTGGCATTTCATATTGGTGCCAGTTCAAGTCCTGGCTGCTCCACTTCTGATCTAGCTCTCTGCTATGGCCTGGAAAAGCAGTGGAAGATGGCCCAAGTGCTTGGGCCCCTGCACCCTTGTGGGAGACCCAGAAGAAGCTCCTGGCTCCTGGCTTCGGATCAGCACAGCTCTGGCCATTGCGGCCATCTGGGGAGTGAACCAGTGGATGGAAGTCCTCTCTCTCTGGCTCTATCTCTCTCTGTAACTCTGTCTTTCAAATAAACAAAATAAAAATTTTTTTAAAAAGAAACTATTACATGAAAGATAATGTTGAGGAAGTGGAAAGATAAGCCAAAGACTAGGAGAACATATTTGCAAAAAACACAACTGGCCCAGGAGTTAGGACACCAGTTCAACCACATTCCGTATCAGAGTGCTTGGGCTCAGTACCCTGCTCTGGCTTCCTGTTGATGTAGTCCTTAAGAGGCAGTGATAACAGTTCAAGTAATTGGGTTCATGCTACCTATGAGGGAGGCTTGGGTTGAATTCCTAGCTCTCAGCTTTGGCCACTTAGGCTTTTGCAGGTTTTTGGGAAAGTGAACCACACAGATGGGAATGTTCTCCCTTATTCTCTCCCTCCCTCTCAAATAAATACAAGATAAACAAGTAAAAAAATTTTAAAGAATTATCTAAAATGTAGAACTCTTAAAAGGCAACAACAAGAAAATGAACAGTGTAGCATATTTTTTAAAAAATTTAATTATTAGTGATTTCACTGATAAACTCTCTCAATGGCTAGGGAGCTGGGAACTCAATTGAGGGCCCCTACATGGGTGGCAGGAACCCAGTCATTTGAGCCATCATTGCTGTCTCTCAGGGTCTATATCAGCAGGTAGTTGGAATTGGGTGCCAGAACTGGCATCTCAAATGTGGGATGTGGGCATCCTAACCAGATCTTTGCTGCTAGGCCAAGCACCTGTCCAAACATAACTTAAAAATGGGCAAAAATCCTGAACAGACACCTCAGCTCCCTGTTAATGTGCCTGGGAAAGCAGTGGAAGATGGCCCAAGTGCTTGGGCCCTGCACCCACGTGGAAGATCTGGAAGACACTCTTGGCTCCTGGCTTCAGCCTGGCTGTTGCAGCCGTTTGGCAGTAAATCAGCAGAAGGAAGATCTCTCTCTCTTTCTCTCCCTCTCTTTCTCTGTGCAACTCTGGCTTTCAAATAAATATATAAATCTTTAAAAACAAAAAAAGAAAGAAAGCTAAATATGTAACTATCATATAACCCAGCAGTTGTACTCCTGGGCATTTATGAAAACTTATGTAAAAAAAATCCACTTGTATGTATTTATAGCAGATTTATTTGGAATTGTGTTAAACAATCCAGATGTCATTCGATGAGTGAATGATAGCTAGCCTGTGGCACATCAGTACCATGGGCTTGTACTCAGCAGTGAACATGCATGAACCTCTGGCACATACAATAGCCTAGATGAACCTCCAGAGAATTATGCTGAGTGGAAAAGGCCAAACCCAAAAGATTATGTACTGTACGATTCCATTTATAGAGCATTCTCAAAGTGACAGGATTGCAGGAATGGTGGTTTTCAGGGGTTAAGGAGGTGAGGAGGGAGAAGGGATTGGGGAAGGGAATGAGTGTGGCCGTCAAAGGACACCTTGGAGTAACTTGCAGTAATGAAATGTTCTGTGTCTTGACTGTCTCAGTGTTAATAACCTGGTTGTGGTGTTCCACATAGTTTTTTTATGTTTATGTATTTGAAAGGCAGAGTGGCAGAGAAAGAGGGAGAAAGGAGAGATTCCATTTGCTGGTTCATTTTCGCAGTGGCCTCAGCAGCCAGGGCTGAGCCAGGCGGATCAGGATCTAGGAGCTCCATCCTGGTCTCTCGCATTTGTGGCAGGGACCCAAGCACTTCAGCCATCACCCGCTGCCTCCCAGGGTGCACATTAGCAGGGAGCTGGATTGTGAGTGGAGGCAGGATTCAGACCAGGTACTTCAGTATGGGCTGTCCCATAGCTGTAGCTGAATCTGCTGCACCACATGGCCACTCCTCCACATACTTCTTATTCTGATTTCACTGTGATGTGTTTGATTATGTGGCTCTTTTATTTTATTTTCTAGAAATTTATCTTGCTTGACACTTGGCAAACTTGTACAACTAGTACTTGTATCTATTTGTCATATGATAATTCTGACGTTATTCCTTCTGGATCTATTCTTAATGCCTTTACCTTTTAGTCATTTAATTGGTATAAAACATATGTGCCATAAATACACTGTCTTAAAGTGCACGGTTCACAAGTTTTTACCATATTCACAAGGTTGTGTAACTGTCATCACTATCTAATTCCAGTGCATCTTCATCGTCTGAAAAAGAAACCCTGCACTCAGTAGCAGGCACTCCATTTATCCTTATCCCCTAGTCCTTGGCAAACACTAATCTAATTTCTGGCCCTATATATTTGCTCATTTTGGGCATTTCATGTAAGTGTAATCATAGAATATGTGGTCTTTTGTGGTCTTTTATTTAAGCATGGTGTTTCCAAGGTTCACCCATGTTGTAACATGTTACGGTACCTGATTTCTTTTTATGGCTGAATAATATTTCACATTTTGTTAAGCCATTTGTCATTTGATGGACTTTTGGGTTGTGTCCACTATTGGCTATTATGAATAATACTGCTATGAATATTCATATACCACCTTTTCTTTTAAATTTATTCTTTTTTAAAAATATTTACTTATTTATTTGAGAGGCAGAGTTACAGAGAGAGAGCGAGCCTTGCATCCGCTGGTTCACTCCCCAGATGGCCACAATAGCCAGAGCTGGGCTGATCTGAAGCCGGAGCTTCCTCCAGGTCTCCCACACGGGTACAGGAGCCCAAGCACTTGGGGCATCCTCCACTCTTTTTCCCAGACCATAGCAGAGAGCTGGATTGGAAGAGGAGTAGCCGGGACATGAGCTGGTGCCCACATGGGATGCCAGCACCCCAGGCAGAGGTTTAGCCTACTATGCCACAGCACTGGCCCCAAACTTTTCTTATACTGTGTCTAGTCTAACTGTCCATAGGGTTTTCTTTTTTAAGCACTGTCTCTTTAATTTCTAAGAGTCCTAATGAAGTTTTCTTTATTATTTTCTGTTTAATTTCCAGCAGTAAATCCTTGTTTCATGGGCTTTTTCTCTCTTCAAAGGTAAAAGATACTTATTTTGAAGTGTTCCTTATGTTGTTCTATGAACTCTGTTTCCTTAAATGTAGTGCTGCTGGTTGGTATGTGTTGTAGTTTTCATGTTATTGATCTTTGTTGTTTGGTAACTTTTAGTAAAAAGCTAATTGTCCATGATCTGTTTAACTGGAACCCATCTTGTGTTGACAGCTGTCTGATAGGAGGTTCTAGCCATGCGTGGTCTACATCTCGGTGTAAACTTTACATGGGTGACGTGACCCTGCAACGTAATAGACTATACAGTTCTGAATCTTGTCACCAGTTATATGTCGTGGCTCAGGGAGACCAGCGTCAGCATCCTTTGGTTGTGCCCAGTACTCAGGTGGGTAGGGGGCACATCTTCAGCCTTCACTCATGCTTTATTCCTCTGCTTAGAACTTCTGTGTGTGGTCCGTGTGACTCTAGCTCTTAAACCTGTGAGTGCTGCAGCACTAGCTGTGTGTTTTTTCCCATTCCAGACCCTAAGTGTTGTATATCTTTAGTCCTTATTAATATCTCTTTCTCACTCTTTCTTTTTGAAGATGGGGGAAGAAAAATGTTTCTTCATGTCTAGTCTCATACGCTTTCCTTCTTTTATTACTGTCACTATTTATCAAGATTTAAAATCACTTGTTCTGGAGCAGGCACGTTGCTAATAAGACACCTGCATCCCCCTTCAGAATGCCTGGGTTTTATTTCCAGCTCTAGCTCCTGATCCTACCAATGTAGACCCTGGGAAGCAGCATTGATGGTTCAAGTAACTGGGTTCCTGTATCCATGTGGGAGACCTGGATTGTGTTCTTGGCTCCAAGTTTTTGTCCCAGCTCCACCCATTGTGGGCATCTGGGGGAGTGAACTAGCAAATGGGAACTCTGTCTCTCAAATAAATAAATAAATAAGGGGGCTGGCATTGTGGCTTAGGGGTTAAGCCACAGGTTGCAATGCCCGCATCCCATGTGAGTGCTGGTTTGTGTCCCAGCTGCTTCACTTCTGATCCAGCCCCATGCGGATAGCCTGGGAAAGCACTGGAAGATGGCCCGAGTGTTTGGGAAACTCTGAAGAAGCTCCCGGCATAGGCCTGGCCTAGCCCTGGCCATCGCAGCCATCTGGGGAAGATGGAAGATCTCTTTCTCTTTCTGTAACTCTTTCAAATAAATAAATAAATTGTTTAAATGTGAAAGAAAAGACTGTTCTATTTTATATTTTTGGATGGGAAGAGGAGATTTCAACATGTTACAACATCTCAATTTATCTTGAAACAAGGATTTTTTTAGTACTATCATTTTGCCTTTTTTAAAAAAGATGTATTTGGCCGGCGCCGCAGCTCAATAGGCTAATCCTCCACCTAGTGGCGCCGGCACACCGGGTTCTAGTCCCGGTCGGGGCGCCAGATTCTGTCCTGGTTGCCCCTCTTCCAGGCCAGCTCTCTGCTATGGCCAGGGAGTGCAGTGGAGGATGGCCCAAGTACTTGGGCCCTACACTCCATGGGAGACCAGGAGAAGCACCTGGCTCTTGCCTTTGGATCAGCGCGGTGCGCCAGCTGCAGCGTGCCAGCAGTGGTGGCCATTGGAGGGTGAACCAACAGCAAAGGAAGACCTTTCTCTCTGTCTCTCTCTCTTACTATCCACTCTGCCTGTCAAAAAAAAAAAAAAAAAAAAAAAAAAAAAAAAAGATGTATTTATTATTTATTTTTAAAGTCAAGAGTTACAGAAAAAGAGGGAGAGACAGGGAGAGATCTCCTATCCTTTGGTTCACTCCCCAGATGGCCACAATGGCCAGTGCTGGGCCAAGCTGAAGGCAGGAGCCAGGAGCTTCATCTGGGTCTCCCATGTGGGTGGCAGGAGCCTAAACACTTGGGCCATCCTTCGTTGCTTTTCCCAGGCTGTTAGCAGGGAGCTGGATCAGAAATGGAGCAGCTGAGACTCAAACCGGCGCCCACATGGGATGCCGGCACTGCAGGCAGCCTCTTTACCGCTACACCGCAGCACCAGCCCCTTTAATAAGTAAAATTGAATTGGGTTTTCCACAAATAGCTACATAATTTATTTTGAATTATTAAGATTTCTAAAGAATTTGGTTTTATTTTCACTTGATCTTAGCCAAAAGGCCGAGAAGCGATTGGTTTTATTTTCAAACCTTTTTCTCATATATCATGTTTCCTCCACTTCTGCGCTGTCTCACTAATTCAACGAGAAGTGGAATTCAGGAGCAAGTTTTCTGTATTTCACAGAAAGGTAATTGAATCACAAACAGGGAGTTGCCTTAGGTCGAGAAGTTGATCAGTGGTGTAACTGAAGATGGATGCAAGGCGTCCTGGTTCAAGGCCAGGTTCATTAACTCCAGTGTGCAGGACCTTACTGCCCTATTATCCAGGGCTTTGTGACTGAATTAAATCTGAGGAACTAATGACAAGAAAAATATCACTCGGCCGGCTCCGCGGCTCACTAGGCTAATCCTCCACCTGCGGCGCCGGCACACCAGGTTCTAGTCCCGGTCGGGGTGCCGGATTCTGTCCCGGTTGCCCCTCTTCCAGGCAGGCTCTCTGCTATGGCCTGGGAGTGCAGTGGAGGATGGCTCAAGTACTTGGGCCCTGCACCCCATGGGAGACCAGGAGAAGCACCTGGCTCCTGGCTTCAGATCAGCGTGGTGTGCCGGCCGCAGCACGCCAGCCGCGGCGGCCATGGGAGGGTGAACCAACGGCAAAAGGAAGACCTTTCTCTCTGTCTCTCTCTCACTGTCCACTGTGCCTATCAAAAAAAAAAAAACAAAAAAAAACAAAAAACAAAAAACAAAAAACACCACTCACTCATTAAAATTGATAGCTGGTACTTGATCCTGGGGATGTCCATACTTTTTCATGATGGTTAAAAACATTTCAAATGTGCAGCATGAATGCCTTATGAGAATCCTGTGCTGCTGTTATAGGATATATTTTACTATTAGGTTGTTCAGGTTGAATTTTTACATAATATTGTCAGCTCATTACAAGATAAAACTTAAAAACCCTGAAATATCTGTTTATTCATATTTAATTCATTATTATATAATAGAGAGGGGTAATAGGGATGGCATTTTATGAAATGGGAGATTTAATTTCTTTTCCTTTATAACATGAATGGCAGGCTATGAAGAAGAAAAATGGTGCATACTTTGATGTTTTCTTTGTTGTTGACGATCTGGAGCTCACTAATGCTTTGTAGAAAGATAGTTTAGCCCGGCGCCATGGCTCACTAGGCTAATCCTCCGCTGCCGGCGCCGGCACCCCAGGTTCTAGTTGCAGTTGGGGTGCCAGATTCTGTCCCGGTTGCTCCTCTTCCAGTCCAGCTCTCTGCTGTGGCCCAGGAGGGCAGTGGAGGATGGCCCAAGTGCTTGGGCCCTGCACCTGCATGGGAGACCAGGAGGAAGCACCTGGCTTCTGGCTTCAGATCAGCGCAGCACACCAGCCATAGTGGCCATTGGGGTGGGGGGGTGAACCAACGGAAAAAGGAAGACCTTTCTCTCTCTCTCTCTCTCTCTCTTACTAACTCTGCCTGTCCAAAAAAAAAAAAAAAGATAGTTTAGAGTCAACACATATTTATATACCATGTGATTATTTCACGAATTAAATTGGCAAGAGTTTGCTTTTCTTTATTAAAAATTACCTTGTTAAAGAATGCAGGGGCCGGCACTGTGGCGTGACAGGTAAAGCCACCGCCTGCAGTACCGGCTTCCTATATAGGTGCCGGTTTGAGTACCAGCTGCTCCACTTCTGATCCAGCTCTCTGCTATGGCCTAGGAAAGCAGTAGAAGATGACCCAAGTGGCCCCTGCACCCATGTGGGAGACCTGGAGGAAGCTCCTGTCTCTGGGATTTGGATCAGCCTGGCTCCACCCGTTGCAGCCATCTGGGGAGTGAACCAGCAGATGGAAGACTTTATGTCTCTCTCTACTTCTGCCTCTCTGTAACTATGCCTTTAAAATAAAAAAAATTAAAAAAACATGGGCCGGCATCACGGCTCACTAGGCTAATCTTCCGCCTGTGGCCCTGGCATCCCGGGTTCTATTCCCATTTGGGGCGCCGGATTCTGTCCCGGTTGCTCCTCTTCCTGTCCAGCTCTCTGCTGTGGCCCGGGAGGGCAGTGGAGGATGGCCCAAGTGCTTGGGCCCTGCACCCGCATGGGAGACCAGGAAGAAGCACCTGGCTCCTGGCTTTGGATCAGCCATAGCAGCCATTTGGGGGGTGAACCAACGGAAGGAAGGCCTTTCTCTCTGTCTCTCTCTCACTGTCTAACTCTGCCTGTCAAAAAAATAATAAAAATAAAAAATAAAATAAAATGAATTAAAAAAAATCAAAAGCATGCACTGTATTAGGAACATGGCAGAGGGGTCATTCTTGAATTTTTATGCTTTCAGCTCTAAATTAGTTCATTTACTGCGCTTATATTTGTTAAATAATAAATTTATTTATTAAAAATACAAGAGTATCAGAACTAACAGTTCCAAAGATTTTTGACACTGGATATGACCTTGTGAAAATTAATTAAGCCCAAACACTGATTTAGCAAATATGGAAAATTGAAAACATAATATTAAATATCTTAACCCCACAAAATAGTCTAAGTGTTCAGGCAATTTGCTATGCATAGCCATTTCCAATTATACTTTAAAATGTTCAGGTAATCTGTTCATCAGGGAAAACGTTCTCGGCTCATCAGTTCAATAATTCCAGAAACTCTTATGCTTATCTAAACTGCTTGTTCTACTTTGTTGCCATTTCTTCTCATACAGAAATACAGTCTGTCCTGCCCAGGTCCTCTGCGAAGAAGCTGACGTGGACTTCAGAGGAAAACAGCTGTTCCCAGCATGCATCAGGACTAACACCATTCCAAATCATTTTTGAGGCAGGTTTTATTGTAGTTCTATGAATTTCTGATGATTTGATTCTTATTTTCCTATGTGTCCAATAAGAGGAAAGAAAAGCCTACGTCCATCACAGTTTCAAATTGAAATGAATCCGTCCCTTATCTATGCAGATATTAGATTACCTAGGAGCTTCCAGGATACTGATGTCTGTATCCCATTCCAAGAGGTTGTGATTTCCGTGATCTGGGATGTTGTATTAGTCTGTTCAGGTTGCTATAACAAAATACATAGACTAGATGGCTTAAAAATAGAAAACAATTTTCTCACGGTGTGGAGGCGAGATGTTAGGTCCATGTGCGACAGGGTTGGTTCTGGTGAAGCGTCTTCCTGCTTGCAGTCTGTGATCCTGTTGTTGTGTCCTTCAGTGGACAGGGAGACCTCTGGTGTCTTCTTCCAAGGATACTGTCAGGTTAATATAACCTTATTTAACCTTAATTACCTCTGTAAGCTCGAAATCTAAATCACATTGAGGGTTAATGGCTTCAATATATGAGGAGACTTCAAAAAGTTCATGGAAGATGGAAATAAAAGATTGGTTTAATTTGGTGTAAAATTTTTGAAATCCATGTTTCGTTTTTTCATTTACTTATTTTCATGAGAATTTTTTCTTGACCGATTTATTTACTTACTTGAAAGGCAGAGAAAGAGGGAGAGAGATGGGGAGAGAGATAAATTTTCCATCTGCTGGTTCACTCCCCAAATGGTTACCTTCCTGGTCTCCCATATGGGTGGCAGAGACCCAAGCACTTGGGCCATCTATGCTGCCTTCCCAGGCACATTAGCGAGAAGCTGGATTGGAAGCAGAGCACCTGGGACTCCTGTATAGACTTCCAGCCCCCTAAGCAGTGGCTTAACTGGCTGTGTGACAGTGCAGTCTGGGGGCTGGTGCTGTGACGTAGCAGGTTAAGCCACTGCCTATAGTGCCTGCATCCCATTTGGGTGCCAGTTTGAGACCCAGCTGCTCTACTTCTGATCCAGCTCTCTGCTTTGGCCTGGGAAAGCAGTAGAAGATGGCCCAAGTTCTTGGGCCCTTGCACCCACATAGAAGACCAGGAAGAAGCTCCTGGCTCCTGGCTTGGGATCAGCTCAGCTCTGGCTGTTGTGGCCATTAGGGGAGTGAACCAGAGGATGGAAGAACTCTCTTTCTCTCTCTCTCTCTGCTTCTCCTTCTCTCTCTGTGTAACTCTGACTTTCAAATAAATAAATAAATAAATCTTTAAAAGAAAATGCTAGCCTGTCCATGAGCCTTTTGAAGACCCTCATATGCATGGATTTAAATTTTTTTGCAGCAAAATAAGTGTCTTAGAATTCTATTTTCTATGAATTTTTGAAGGCTTTTTTTTTTTTTTTTTTTGACAGGCAGAGTTAGACAGTGAGAGAGAGACAGAGAGAAAGAGAAAGGTCTTCCTTCCATTGGTTCACCCTGCAAATGGCTGCTACGGCCAGTGTGCTGTGCTGTTCGGAAGCCAGGAACCAGGTGCCTCCTCCTGGTCTCCCATGTGGGTGCAGGGCTCAAGCACTTGGGCCATCCTCCACTGCCTTCCTGGGCCACAGCAGAGAGCTGGACTGGAAGATGAACAACCGGTACAGAATCCGGCACCCCAACTGGGACTAGAACCCAGGTGCCAGTGCCGCAGGTTGGGGATTAGCCTAGTGAGCCACGGCATCGGCCTTGAAGGCCTTTAATATGAATTTTGAGGGACTTTAATGCAGTCCATCATAGATGTGACTATCCCTATGCTTTGAACTATTTTTTTTAAATCTCAGATGATTCCTAATTTGAAAATGAGTCTGGGAACCACTGAAATAAGCCCTTATTTGAATTTGGATCTTCTAACAAAGAAAAAATCTAAAAATGATTCTAGTACCAATCCTGTTGGATACATTTTTATGAGGTTGTTTTGGAGAGCTCTATTGATTTATTTGAGACCCACATTTATGGAAGTGATAATTGAGTTCTTCATTCTCTAACAGTTTTCAGATCACCTCTCTCTCCTTCCTGGAGCTGATGTAGACAAGGAATGGGAGTGCCTTCAGCATTTCTCCCAGGAAGCACTCGGGAAGCCTTTCTCTGTGTTTGAATAATTATATGCTCCTTCTGAAAGGAACGGGTACATTATAGGACAACAGCTATCCCTGGCCGTGCCTTATCATCTTTAGAATAATGAGAGGTAAACGAGCTGGAGCAATTAATGGTCAGTCAGCTCTGAAACTATTCATGCCAGGTAGCAATAAACAGGTGATTCCTGTGAACCAAGGAAAGCAGTTCTAGGAAATGAGGTCATGTGTTTTAGGCAGTCTGAACAAGCAATAATTTGTATACTCAAGATTTAATATTATTTAAGCTTCGTAAAAACTATGAAGTGGATAAGGCAAAAATTGTCACAATATTTTACAGATAAGAAAACTGAGACTCAGAATTTGCCTGGCTTTCCCAACATCATATGAAAATTAAGTGGCAGAATTAGAACTTGAACTGAAGTCTGATGCATGTAGATCATTGCTATTTCAGAATTCATTATTTCAGAAACTTGTGTCTGCTCAAGTCAGTCTCATTGAACTACTTTAGGTACAAAGTCCCAAGATATGTTCTTTGATTCCAAGGAATGTAAAGGTTGGTAAGTAGACAAATGATTACAATACAGTGTGATTTATATGATGATAGCCGTAAGCAATGAATAAAAAAAGCACACCTAAGCCATGGGAAGAGGTCAAGAGTGGAGGTATTGATGAGACTGAAAACAGATGTACTGAGTATAAGGGATTTTCCCTCAGAAAAATCAAAATAAGGCCAGAGCAAACATTTAGGATGCATTTAGTTTGGTCTATCAAGGAAGCCACTTTAAACACCTTGGTATTCATCTTTTCACAGAAGAGTGGGACATTTCGGTTTAAAGTTTCTAGAATGGAACAGTTCTAACCTGTGGCCATGGAAATAGGTGGCTAGAAATGAATGGACATCAAGGTCATTGTCAGTGAAGAGGTCAGGGAAATGTGAGAGTAAATTGTTGCTCAGGCTGGTGATCTGCTTGGAAATGGGGGTTAGACTTGGGGTCCAGAGGAAAGCAGTGAGCTTAGTGACCGGGAGTCAGCTGATGATGGAGATGAGGAGAGGTAACGAGTAGACAACAGATGGCACCGACCTCAAGGAAACAGAGGTTTCCTCTGCACCTTGTTGTTTCTACCTTTACACCGTGTTCCCAGTACTGAGCACCTATATGGATATTTGAATGAAGAGAGTGAGAAGAGAAAATGGGGAGATTACAAAAAAATTCACTGAAAATGCCTCTGGAGGAGAAGGGCCAAGTAGCAAGGGTAACAGCAAAGACCACTTATTAGAGACATCCATGAAAACACTATAATAAGGGACCTACTGATGTGGGAATGTGAGGAAAACGAATCCCAAGGAAGGTGAAGGAAAGCACCCTTCAGAAGAGACACTGGGCTTTGTCTATGCCCAGGTTGAGTCCTGTGTCTTGGAGTTAGGCTGGGTAACATGTATCTTCAAAACCAGTCTGATTTTACAAGCTCTTTTTTTTTTTTTTTTTTTTTTTGACAGGCAGAGTGGACAGTGAGAGAGAGAGACAGAGAGAAAGGTCTTCTTCCTTTGCCGTTGGTTCACCCTCCAATGGTCGCCGCGGCCGGCGCACCGCACTGATCCGATGGCAGGAGCCAGGTACTTATCCTGGTCTCCCATGGGGTGCAGGGCCTAAGTACTTGGGCCATCCTCCACTGCACTCCCGGGCCACAGCAGAGAGCTGGCCTGGAAGAGGGGCAACCGGGACAGAATCGGGCGCCCCGACTGGGACTAGAACCCGGTGTGCCAGCGCCGCAAGGCGGAGGATTAGCCTAGTGAGCTGCAGCGCCGGCCTGATTTTACAAGCTCTTAACAGCTTTCTTCAGCTTTATATTTATTTTGTAATAAGTTGCAATGATCAAGTTATGCAAATATATATTCACAAACATATGTGTATATATATATGTATATGTATATGTCTAGCTAGCTAGAGGAGAGGGACAGAGACTGAGACTGTCCTCTAGAAAGTGATCTGGGACTCATTGCTATATAAGTTCATGTTTGGAAAAAGCCCTCTATATTTTATCATGTAATCAGACATATCTGCAGGTGGAGGCTAAAATTATGTGATTCAGTAGTGGTGTCTGCTGCTCAGGACTGACAGAATGTTTTCATAATAGCACTCAAGTAGATTCGCTGTTTCTATAGTGTATGTCAGGCTAGGGTACTGGGTTTCTGTTTCAATTGTAAAAAGCTTTGTCTTTCTCCCTTCTTCCTTCTCCCCTCCCTCCCTCCGTCCTTCCCTCTCTCCCTCTCCCTCCCCATCTCCCTCCCTCCTTCCCTCTCTTCCTCTCCCCTCGCTCTCTCCCTCCCCCTCTCCCTCCCCCTCTCCCTCCCCCCTTCCTCCCCCCCTTCACTCCCCTCTGCCTCCTCCCCTTCACTCCCCTCTGCCTCCTCCCCTTCACTCCCCTCTCCCTCCCCCCCTTCACTCCCCTCTGCCTCCTCCCCTCCCTCCCTCCAGCTCTCTCCCTTGCTTTGAGTAGAGTCTACAAGGAGCTGTTTGCTTTGCAGTAACTGCTCTGCTGACCTGACATTAGATTGCGTCATCCTCTTAGGTTAGGTGCCAGTCCTCTTGTGTGTTCCTCTATCATCTCATATATCTAAGTTATAAAACTTTCCATGTTGTCAGTAAATTATTTGTTTTCTACTGAGCTGTACATTCTTCTAATTTGGAGATTGTCCTATCTTTGTAGGCCCAGGTGCATAATAAGTCAAATTAGTGTTTTATGAGTGTATAAATATGTAGAGAGAGTAGCTATATATAAGCATAAAGTATAAAAATAATGGATTATATATAATACAATTCAGATAGTTGGCTGTATACACAGAAAATGGACATTCTTGGAGAGGCAGCATTGCATAGTGGAATCAGCGGAATGTGGGTTTTGGAGTTAGATCCAAGTTTGAATCCTAATTCTGCCACTTGACTGTGTGTGATCTTGGACATATTAATTAACTTACTGAGTTTCATGATCTTCCATAAAAAGCGAGTATTTTCTATTTGCATATAAACTGCATAGCGTGTAGCAGTGTTCAGTAAATAGTAGCTGTGTTCATTATCAGTTGTAGCCCCTCTTGGTAGCTGCTCAACAGACCTTCACTTGTTTGCCTTTACTGTGAGATACAATCAGCCCTCTCCGTGGTGCACCATATAATCACCAAGGTTACAGAGACTTGAAACTGTTCCAAGAAGTTGTTTTTGGAAGTATTAAGTACAGAAAATGCTTTAAGAGACCAGTGATTTTCTACTGTTTAAACATTTTGTATGAAAAAAATTTTTTAAGTAAAGGATGTGACTATAATATAGGTAGCAGTTGCTGTTTAATAACCATTGTTTACATGTTAAATAATCCTAGATTTTTCCAGAATTTTCTAACCAACGATCCATTTTTCTATTTATTTTTCTAATAATTATCATTGTATTAGATAGTTCTTGGCCTCTTTTTCTTTGTATTTTAAAAATATTATAATAGCTTGTTTACTCAAGATTTGCATTTTTTATTCTTTATTGTGTTACGTAATTTTCAGGTTTGGGTACATTTTTTTCTTTAATATATATTTTGTGTATGGTTCTCTGTATTCTGATCCACCCATAGAAACCTTCTAATTTTTGATGGTGCTTCTTTATAAAATTTTCCTAGACTTATTCTTTGGGGGTTTAGGGACACTACATTCAATACAGTAAGTCAAATAGGAATGGGGTCGATACTAAAGATCCAGAGACAAATTGACCTGCCTAACTTTGGGCAAATTGTTTAACGTCTTAGCCTTTTAAAATAAAATTCTGCAAGTTGGGGATGGTAATCCTACCTTCCAGGATTGCTGTGAGACAATGTGTATACAGCACCTGCACGGTCTTGTCACATGGTAGGCATTCAACAAAAGATATGTTATTGTTACTATACGTATTTTCAGGTATAAGATCCTTAAAGCAGTGAGGTAGAAAGATTGGCTTTATCCCTGTTTGGGGAATTAGGACATGAAGAGTAATGAAGTGATTCCCTCTGCTCCCCTCCCATGGTTACTTAAGTGATTTAGAATTTAGAACACAGGCCCGGGGGCAGGCGAGCCGCGGCGAAGGGCACCCTGGTGGAAAGCGGACGCCAGGCGCTGTGGCAAGGGAGAGGGACGAGCTGCCCTTCGTTGTCAGCCAGGAGCGAGGACACGGCGACGCTCCCATCTGGCTGCCCGCGATCACTCGGCGGCCGACATGTCAGCCGCTGGCGCCCGAGGCCTGCGGGCCACCTACCACCGGCTCCTGGATAAAGTGGAGCTGATGCTGCCCGAGAAATTGAGACCATTGTACAACCAGCCGGCAGGTCCCCGCACAGTTTTCTTCTGGGCTCCAATTATGAAATGGGGATTGGTGTGTGCTGGATTGGCTGACATGGCAAGACCTGCAGAAAAACTCAGCACAGCTCAGTCTGCTGTTTTGATGGCTACAGGGTTTATTTGGTCAAGATACTCCCTCGTAATTATTCCAAAAAATTGGAGTCTATTTGCTGTTAATTTCTTTGTGGGGGCAGCAGGAGCCTCTCAACTCTTTCGCATTTGGAGATATAACCAAGAACTAAAAGCTAAAGCAAACCAATAAAAGAGTTCCTGACCACCTGAACAATCTAAATATGGACATAACCACTGGGACCTATTCAATTATTGATAAGGCAATGCTAACTGTGCTAAATTTTAGAGGGCACACAAAAAAATTTAACTAACTGGTAGCTAGTGCTTGATTCAACAGAAAAATAAAGGAAACTTTTAATAACAAAAAAAAAGAATTTAGAACACAGGACTTTCGACTTTTGAGCTTTTTGCTCTACAATGTTTCTTTATATAGAACGAATTGATATTCAAAAGTTCCTTTGATTCCACTCAGATTTTTTTTTTAAAAAAGATTTATTTATTTGAAAGTCAGAGATAGATAGATTTATTTATTTATTTATTTATTTGGCAGAGTTACAGAGAGAGAGAGAGAGAGAGAAATCTTCAATCTGCTGATTTACTTCCTAGATGGCTGCAGTGGCTGAGATTGGGCCAGCCTGAAGCCAGGAGCCAGAAGCTTTTTCCAGGTCTCCTACATGGGTGGCAAAGGCCATCTTCCACTGCTTTCCCAGGTGCATTAGCAGGGAGCTGGATCAGAAGTGGAGTAGCCAGGACTTGAACCAGCGCCCATATGGGATTGCAGTGTCACAGGCAGCACCTTTACCTGCTATTCCACATGCTGGCCCCTCCACTCGGATTCTTAATACAGATTATCCCAAAACACACAATGGCAGAGTCAAGATAGAATTATATTTCTAAGCTCTGGTTTGAATTAATTAAAAAAAGATTTATTGATTTATTTGAAAGGCAGAGTTAACAGAGGGAGGGAAAGAAAGGTGGAGGGGGAGAGAGAGAGAGAGAGAGAGGGAAAGGGAGAGAGAGATCTTTTATCTGCTAGTTTGTTCCCCAAGTGGCCACAGTGGTCAGAGCCAGGAGCTTCATCTGGGTCTCCTTTGTGGGTGCAGGGGCCCAAGCACTTGGGCCATCGTCTGCTGCTTTCTCTGGCTTGTTAGCATGGAGCTAGAACTGAAGTGGAGCAGCTGGGACTCAAACCAGTACCCATATGGGATGCTGGCATCACAGGCAGTGGGTTAACCCACTACTCCCCAAAGCCGTCCCTTATTTTTTTTAATTTTTAGTTTAATGATATTAATTGGCATGAGCTCCATTCCTAGAGTCCCATAACACCTTATTCCATAAAATAGAATGTGTCCCTGAATTACTTTTAAATATGTCCCAAAATATGGTTTTTAATCTGATTTGTGTTCATTTTTCTCCTGATGCTCCATGAAATAGGTAATGTCACCCAAGAACTGATGGCTATTTAGATTCCCTCTTGTGTACAACTCCTACTCCCAGAGAGGTTTCCCTGAAGATGTCTGATGTTTGCTTCTAGAAGAAACACCGCAAGCTGATTGATCTGTGTTCTTGGGTTTGTGTTTGTGTGGTGGGGGTCTTTGTTGTGTTGTTACAGGTTGATGAAGAGCCCAGAACACTGATAAGAGATTGTCTAATTATAAAACATTTTATACGCAAAGTCATTGTGGTGCATCCTAAGGTAAGCTGTTCTTTTGTACAAAAATGTTTCTCTTGGTTAAGTCATATGTTTTCAAGAGACCTCTATTCTGAAGGAGATAGAAGGATAGGATTGATTAACTTTTAATATTGAAATCATTTGGTTTCTTAAGGCAACTTGTGCTGGTCATGTGACAGCTGAGGTCCTCTGGAGACAGGAGACCCTATTTTCATTTATTGCTTTTAATGTGTCATTTTAGATGCCTCTTTTGCTTCTGTGTTTAATTTTTCTGTTAAACTAGGATAATAAACCTGGTTGATTATCTCCCTCTTTTATAAAGTCACTGTAAGAGCAAATAATGAAGTTTTGCTAAAATATAAACATTGGAGAAATAAGATTTTCATTTGGAATAGATGGGTTTCTAAAGATGAACACAGTTAAGTGCTCACCTAGCTCCTCCCTTTCTTGTGCTGTCTTTAGCAGGTTTAAGTTCTTGCTGTGTTATCATTGTCTATATGTAAGTATTATTGTCAGTGTTTTAGATGCCCTCTATGTACTTACTCATTTAACTCCTTGAAAAATAGGTCTCATCACCATCATCATCACCCTCATTTTATAGCTGAGAAAACTAAGGTACCGAACTTAAGTAACAAGCAGAGTCAGGATTTGAATCAGGCAGTCGGGTCTAGAGACTCTTGTATGCTACTTAGGAAGAAAAATGCAGATTAAAGGTAGGGAATAGTTAGAACAGTGACATAAATTGGAGAGAGGACATACAAATCACATTGGGGAAGGGGAAGAGAAAGTGAGGAAAAAAGCGTGGAACATTCCATGTATGAAAGTAGTAAAAATAAAAAATTGATAGTTTCTTTTAAAAAGACAAGGGAATATGTTGGGAGAATGACAAGTATTCCCTGAGTTGTAGGATTCAATATATTTAAAATTCAGAATTTGAACACAGGCAAGTATTAAGTGTGTAGAAGGAAAGATAAATTGAAAAAAGTTGGTAAAGAAGACCCTTTTCCTCCAGGTTCATCTGTTTTGTCCTGAATAACAGAATTTCCTCCTTTTAAAAAGCTGAGTAGTATTCCACTGTGAATATGTACCATATCTACCTTCTTCCTTCAGACAAGACGTGCACAGAAAGACAAATACCACATAATCTCACTGATATATGGAATTTCTGAAAGTCAAATTCAGAGGAGTGGAGAACAGAAAGGTGGTTACCAGAGGCTGGTTAGGGGAGAAGGAGATATGAGCAGTTGTTGGGCAAACAGTGCAAAGTTCCAGTTAGGGAGAAGGAATAGGTTTTGAGATCTGCAGGACAGGGTGACTGTAGTCAATAAAAATGTGTATTTCAAAATGGGTGAGAGTAAAAGTCAAAAGTCTCACCACAAAAAATAAGTTAGATAATGAGCATATTAATTAGTTTGATTTAATCATACCACATTGTATACCATATACCAAAGTATCATTTTGTACTCTGTTAATGTCTACAATTAGGATTTCTCAGTTTAAAATGATGTTTACACTTTTAAAAAAGAATGTACTTGGGCCGGCGCTGTGGCTCACTTGGTTAATCATCCGCCTTGCGACGCCATATGGGCGCCGGGTTCTGGTCCCGGTCACTCCTCTTCCAGTCCAGCTCTCTGCTGTGGCCCAGGAGGGCATTGGAGAATGGCCTGGGTGCTTGGGCCCCTGCACCCGCATGGGAGACCGGGAGGAGGCTCCTGGTTCCTGGCTTTGGATCGGCGCAGCACTGGCCATGGTGGCCATTTGAGGAGTAAACCAGCGGAGGGAGGACCTTTCTCTCTGTGTCTCTCTCTCACTGTCTGTAACTCTGTCAAGTAAATTAAAAAAAAAAAAAAAAAAAGAATATACTTTTCCTTTAGAGATGGTGTGGACATTATCTTGGCTCCTATTCAATCTCACACCTCATGTATTGTTTTGCAGATAAGATTTAATTTCAGTGTAGAGGTAAATGGAGTCCTGTCAAGAGATGTCTTCGGGTAAGTCCTGAGCCCATGGCTTCCAATGGTGCCGTGGCTCTGCAGACTTTCTCAGCCATTTTATTCCCATTTCCGGTAGATTCACAGTTTTCTTTCTTTACCCAAAGTCACCTTGAAATTAATTTTCTGAGACCCTCATATTTTCTTATTCCATATTGGCTTTTGGTGAGTAAGTAGATTTATCTAAAACCTATCATGTTTTTCTATCTCACTAGAGAGAAATAAACCTAAAATTTGTCATTTTCCTCTTGGTTAATTAGGTACTGAATTACAGTCATTTCTGGGGTGGTAGTTTTCACAAACCAAAATTTGTATCACTCAGAAATTGGTTTTAGAATCTCGAGAGATAGCTTAGCTTTTCTTTGCTTTGCAGGGTAGAGAAGGAACCCACTTTGAACCTGTCAAATGGAATTGCTCTTGTCGTAAACTGTCGGCGTTATATGAGGTGAAGGAGCAAAACATTGTTGCCCCTCTCTGTGTTGTACTTTCCTAGCATGAAAATGAACGGAGGTGGAAATTGGAAGTGGTCTCACTTGTCATTGCAAAGTGTCCAGTGTCATCTTCTCTATAGGGAATGTGGAAGTAAAGCTTTATAAAGTTATCTGTATTGAAAACTGTTATTATTCTTAGTGCCTTGAATATGTTCTAATTGACCTGAGGATGTGTTCCTTCTCCCTGCTAATTCCAGTTTCATTTAGGCATGAGAGGAGAAGACTGAATTTAAAATTACAATTACTTGAACTCTTGGATAAAGAGATACTATGAATCCAAAAAAATTACTGTATATTACTTTGTATACGTTGGCATTTTGCACAGGTTTGGAAGTCATCTTTTCCCCCACTGCAGCCTTCTTCAAACACTAAAAATAGAGTACATGGAGGGGGTAGAATATAATATAGAACTTCTGCCTTGCCTTCCTGTGCCATCCAACTACCACAGACTCCAAAATGAACATAAACTTTATCAAGAAAAGACCTGTTGTATGCTTAAGCCGAATTACTGTATTTTATTTAATGGTTTCTGCCTTCATGAATATGCCCTCCGTCAACACCAGTAGTCAGAATCTCAAGGCTTAAACAGGCTACCCATGGTTTTTTAGTCTACTTCCTGAAACTGTCCCAGAATTATCCCTCAGATGAGAATATCTTTTGTCCTTTAGGGTACAGGTAACAAGCCCCTCACCCCATATCTTTCTTTAGTATCCCTCTGTTATCATACAGTCCTTACAGGTAGACAGCTCATTGTGATAGTTTTACTAACAAGAGTTTGGACCTCTGAGCCGATATTTATAGATGTTTCCCTGGATGGCGTGATTAGTGAGAGGAAGAGGTCCACTAGATTTCTCCTCTGTTTAGAAAAGAGCCATTGGAGAGTAAGCAGAAACTTCACTAGAGTCTTTCTTAGGGAGAAAAGTGGCCTAGTTTGTCTCATTTGCTCCTATAAGCCGTAATTTCAGCTTCTGTCATAGTGTAGAATGTATGAGAGGGACGTCAGGTGTCGCGGCACCAGTTTCAGGCCACGTGATTCCCGCCCTCCCCCCGTCCCCCAGAGTGATCTGCTCCCAACCACAGAGTGGTTTAGTGGAGGAAATACACCTCTAGAATAAGAAACTGCTGTTACTGACAGCAAAAGCAGGAGCCACGACACCGTCACTGAAATGCCCACTTTCCTCCTCTTTCCATTGCTGTGGTTCCCTGAGTGGGACAGTTACTTACCTCAACAAAACTAGTATGTGGGTTACGTGGTTATGCATATATTAAAGGTTGCAAAAAGCTTTTTGGAATAATATTTTAATAATTTCTTAAGGAAGGGGAGAAAAGTTAAATTTGTTTTCTGACAGCAGATCAAACTTTGGTACGACTGAAGCGCACTGCGACAGGATCCACCCTGTGCTCGGGCATCCTGTAACACTTGTAATCCCTGATGACGTGGCTGGCATGGACTTGCTGGGAGAACTGACGCTGACCCCAGCTGCTGCTCTGTGTCCCAGCCAAAAAGTCTTTTCCAACCAGCTCAGCAGAATTTCTTCAGCTTCCATATCCTTTTGATGATAAACTCCAACCTAGTTGTCTTTGAAAATTACTTTTGTATCCCAATTTGAAAGACATTTTTAGTATATGTGTTCAGTGTCTTGAAACATGTAATTTGTGTAAAACATAAAATCAAATACGAAAGCCAAACTTGAAAATTTTTTCAGCAAACCAAAAGCTATGAAATATGACCTATGTATCATGCATTTTTCATATAATCCAGCATGACTAAGAGTGGAATGGATGGTTCAGGAGAGGAGAAAGCCTGGGAATGTGGTTTGGAGTGGAACTTGGCTTGTCTTGAGTGTCACACTAAGAAGTGTGAACTTACTCTCTGTATAGTGGGAAACCCCTGCACGCTGGAAGGAGTCTGGCAGCACCACAAAGGGGAGACCAGGAGGCCAGTGATTCCTGAGTAAGTCAGTCAGTGACTGGGCTAGGAGGCGATGTGGGGCTTGTCACTGGAAGAAATCAACCAACTGAGGTAACGAAATCATTACTGGAGTAGGGAGAGATTAGGGGCAAGGAATGGCCAAGTCTGATGGCAGAATTTCTATGTCCAGAATAGACCTATAGAGAAATTGATTGATGAGGAAAGGGGTCTTCTTTTAGGAACATGGGAAATGCTCTAAAATTGATAGTGGTGATGGTTTCAAAGCTCGTTGAATAAACTAAGCCCATTTTTTTTAAAAAAATCATTTATTTATTTGAAAGAGTTACAGAGAAGCAGAGGCAGAGAGAGAGAGAGAGAGGTCTTCCAATCTGCTAGTTCACTCCCCAAATGGCTGCAATGGCTGGAGCTAGACCAGTTCGAAGCCAGGAGCTTCTTCCTGGTCTTTTACGTGGGTGCAGGGGCCAAGGAGTTGGGCCGTCTTCTACTGCTTTCCCAGGCAGTATCAGAGCTGGATTTGAAGTGGAGCTGCTGAGACTTGAACTGGCGCCCATATGGGATGTTGGCACTGCAGGCAGTGGCTTTACCCACTACATCACAGTGCTGGCCCCTAAAGCCCATTTAATTATACATTTAAAGTGGGTGAATTGCATAGTCTTTGAATTATATCTCAATAAAACTGGTTTAAAAAGATTTCCATGGATGACTGATAGAATAATGAAACTGTCAGCAAAATGCAAAGTATCAGTAGCAGATCTGGGGAGATGTGTAAAGCAAGTGAGATTGGTTTTAGACATGCTAAGTGCATGGCGCCTGCAGGACATACTTTGAAGAGGGCAAGCAGCCATATAGAAATGTTAGTGTGCAATTTGGAAGTGGTCAGATTTAACGATACAGATTTATAGTCTGCTTTCTCCACAGGTAATTGTAGTAGGAATGCAAATCCCAGACTCACCATTACTTAGCTGTATGATTATAGGCAGCTTACTTAACCAGCCTACACTGTTACTTCCTCAGCTTTAAAATGGAGATAATAGTAACTGCCTCATAGATTGGTTTATCTTCCCTTGCAAAAGTTTTCTGTTGTTCTTTTGGGATTTGTTTTTTAAAACATAACTGTAATATTCCACATGCAGCTGCTAGTATACGTCCTGACACATAAGTGACCAGTCAGTAGTAGTCATTACTGCTCTCTATTGAAGTGGTAGGAATAAATGAAGCTGAACAGACTCATAGAATGGCAGATGTCCTAAATAGCACTCTGGCCTCAGAATCAGCCCTAAAGGCACTCGGATCTGGCTGAAAAGCCCATGAGAGTATTTCAGGCATGGAAAGCCAAGACACTCTGGCAAAAAGATCTCTGTGAGTGAGATCCCAGTGGAAAGAACAGGTCTTCAAAGAGGGAGGTGCCTTTCTCTGAAGGGAGGAGAGAACCTCCACTTTGACTATGACCTTGTCTAAACAAGATAAGAGTCGGAGAACTCAAGGGGCTTCCATAGCCTTGGAAACTCATGACTGGTGCATAGGGAGATTACTGATGCCATAAACAGGAGTGTCAATTTGTAAAGTCAACAACAGGAGTCACTGTGCACTTACTCCTCATGTAGGATCTCTGTCCTTAATGTGCTGTACACTGAGGCTTAATGCTATAACGAGTACTCAAACAGTATATTTCACTTTGTGTTTCTATGGGGGTGCAAACTGTTGAAATCTTTACTTAATGTACACTAAACTGATCTTCTGTTAAAAAAAAAAAAAAAAAGAAAAGAAACTATCAATTCCCAACTTGACTCTCACTGGGATTAAACATGACAATAGGTCTGATCTGATTTCATCATCATTTAAAAAAAAAATCATCTATTATTTTCACTTTATGTTTCTGTGTGGGAACAAACTGTTGAAATCCTTACTTAAGGTATACTAAGCTGATCTTCTGTATACTAAGATAATCGAAAATGAATCTTGATGTGAATGGAAGGGGAGAGGGAGTGGGAAAGGGGAGGGTGGTGGGTGGGAGGGACGGTATGGGGGGGAAAGCCATTGTAACCCATGAGACGTACTTTGGAAATTTATATTCATTAAATAAAAGATAAAAAAAAAAATGAAGCTGAAGACTACAGGGAGCAAGCATAGAGGAGGGTTGGCACCACAGATATTGACAGAGGTCTGTTTTAGGAAAGAAGAAGGAGCAGGATAGTGGTAAGACAATGCATGCACATTTAATGGCTTAAAACATGATTTTTCTTAATACTTGGAGAGTTCAGAAGGGCATAGGCTACATAGTAAGTTTCTTCCTCCTCATTCCCATCTCTCAAAGGAATGAAACAGATACAATTTCTGTCCTTTCAATAGTTTGCCTTTTAGTGGGAAAATTTAACAAATAGATATTAGGGTAGGGTAAGTGCCTTGAAGAGAGATAAGGCAGATGAAGAGAGGGAGATGGAGATGTTATTTTAAACAGGATCAGTGATGACTCTGAGGAGGTGATATCTTAATGAAGGGGAGCTAGCTATGAAAACTCTGGTGGGATTTGTTTCTGAGTGACTAATGAAGTAATCTAGACCAACCCTTCCATGAAGAAAAGGCTGCATGAAATAGTAAAACATCATAAAAGCACCAAAGATCTAGTGAGGGGAAGAATTTCTGGGCCATTTACAGATAGCGGAACCTGGCCTTGGAGATTATTTTTCAATTAGAGCAAACAATTGAGAGGTGAAGGTGCATTTGCATTTCTTCTTTTTTTTTTAAGATTTATTTATTTGAAAGGCAGATTTACAGAGAGAGGAAAGAGAGAGAGAGAGAGAGAGAGAAAATGAGAATGAGAATGAATTTCTCTTCAATCCACTGGTTCACTCTCAAAATGGCCATATTGGGCAGGGTTTGGCCAAGGCTGGGCTAGGCCAAACCCAGGAGCCAGGAACTCCAACCCAGTCTCCCATGTGGATGACAGGGGCCCAACCACTTGGGCCATCTTCGACTGCTTTCCCAGGCCACAGCAGAGAGCTGGATCAAAAGTGCAATAGCCAGGATTTGCCCATTAGGATGATGACTTAATCTGCTAGGCCCTAATGGCGGTCTGGAAGGTGAACTTCTGAATCAAGGCAGTACAAGGCCAAAGAGCCCAAGGGGTGCTGAGCGTGGATTATTAAAAAACTGCATTTTAAAGAATAAAGTATACCTGAAATAAACCATCCTTCACAAGGACCAAATATGATTTTTGGTAAAATAGGCCAGAAAGTCTGTGATTGTGAAATTGGTTTAGGATGATTCTAGATTGCTGATCTCCCAGATGCCTTGTAGAAGCAAACAAAACCAAAATGAAATTTTGTGGTCAAAAATAGAGTAACTAATGTTGAAATTCAATACACAGGTTTAACAGCAAATTATATACAACCTAAGTGAATTTGCAAACTAAAGGAAAGCAAAAATTTAGCAAAATAAAGCCAAGAGAAACCAAAGGATGGAAACCATAGAAGAGAGAGGTTAATACCGAGAGGAAACAGTGAGAATGTCTAATGTATATTTAATTCATGTCCCAAAGGAGAAGAGAGAGAAAATAAATTAGAAACAATATTTGATGAGTTAATATCTAAAACAATGAGAACATAGGTAAGGGGACAGGCATTTGGTGCAGTGGTTAAAGACGCCTGCATACCACACGGAAGTGCCTGGGTTCAAGTCCCACCTTCACTTCTGATCCAGCTTCCTGCTGTTGTGCACCATGGGAGGCAGCAGGTGATGTCCCAAGTATTTGGGTCTCTGCCACCCACGTGGGAGACCTGGGTTAAGTTCCAGGCTCCTGGCTTCCACCTGGACCAATCCTAGGTGTTGTAGGCATTTGGGGAGTAAACCAGCAGATGGGAGATCTCTTTGTGTTTATGCCTTTCAAATTAAAAATTTGAAAAATTTTTAAATTGTTAAATTTAAAATGTTTAAATTGTTAAGAACTCAAAAATTAAGCAAGATAAATAAAAAGATATCTACACCTATAGAAGATCAAAAACAAAGAGAAAATGTTAAAGTCAGGGAAGATAGATTATCTTCAAAAGAAAGCAAAATGACAGCTGACTTTCCCAAACCACAGAATGGGATAGATTAATAGTGTTAATGCCGGCCAGCGCCTCAGCTCACTAGGCTAATCCTCCGCCTTGCGGCGCCGGCACACCGTGTTCTTGTCCCGGTCAGGGCGCCGGATTCTGTCCCGGTTGCCCCTCTTCCAGGCCAGCTCTCTGCTGTGGCCAGGGAGTGCAGTGGAGGATGGCCCAAGTGCTTGGGCCCTGCACCCCATGGGAGACCAGGATAAGTACCTGGCTCCTGCCTTCGGATCAGCGCGGTGCACCGGCCTCGGCGGCCATTGGAGGGTGAACCAACGGCAAAGGAAGACCTTTCTCTCTGTCTCTCTCTCTCACTGTCCACTCTGCCTGTCAAAAATAAATAAATAAATAATAAGGCAAAAAAAAAATAGTGTTAATGCCCTGAAATAGAATAATCATCAACCTATCATTTCATATCTGGTAAAAATATTTCTCAAGCTAAAGGCCAATAAATATATCTATATTTTATGTTAATATTATAATCCATATAGCAAGAATTCAGCTGCTTTTAAAATATAGTGTTTTGATCATATATTCTTTAAGGGATATGCTCCAAGGGTGAAATGAATGCAAAGAACTCTTAAAATTCATTCTGTGGGCCAGTGCTGCGGCTCACTAGGCTAATCCTCCACCTGCAGCGCTGACACCCCGGGTTCTAGTCCCGGTCAGGGCACCGGATTCTGTCCCAGTTGCTCCTCTTCCTGTCCAGCTCTCTGTTATGGCCTGGGAGTGCAGTGGAGGATGGCCCAGTTCCTTGGGCCCTGCACCCACATGGGAGACCAGGATAAGTACCTGGCTCCTGGCTTCAGATCAGTGCGGTGCGCCGGCCGCAGCGGGCTGGCTGCAGCGGCCATTGAGGGTGAACCAACGGAAAAAGGAAGACCTTCCTCTCTGTCTCTCTCTCTCACTGTCCACTCTGCCTGTCAAAAAAAAATTCATTCTGTGGTCTTTATTGTTAGTAATAATGTAGGTATTTTGTATTGAAATTGTTGTATGCTATGTAGAATAGATGATTATGTTAGCATTATTAGAAACCAAAATTTCCAGCATCAGTTAGCAAATATATAACTGTAAATTCAAATAATAAAATATTTAAAGTATTCCTGAAGTGGAATTGAAAATAACAGTATGAATCCACAATTTTTTTTAAGATTTATTTTATATATTTGAAAGGCAAAGTTACAGAGAGGGAGAGAGAGACAGAGAGAGATCTTCTATCCTCTGGTTCACTCCCCAAATGGCTGCAATGATCAGGGCTGGACCAGGCTGAAGCCAGGAACCAGGAGCTTTGTCCTGGTCTCCCTTGTGGGTGCAGGGGCCCAAGTACTTGGGCAATCTTCCACTGCTTTCCCAGGATCTTAGCAGGGAATTGAATCAGAAGTAGAGGAGACAGGACTCGAAACAGCACCCATATAGGATGCCGGCACTGCAGTCGGGGGCTTTAACCCACTGTGCCACAGCACTGGCCCCCGACAATCTTTCTTTTAAAATTACATATATTTTGGGGCCGGCACTGTGGCATAGCAGGTAAAGCTGCGCCTTGCAGCACCAGCATCCCATATAGGTGCTGGTTCGAGTCCTGATTGCTCCACTTCTAATCCACCTCCCTGATAATGTGCCTGGGAAAGCAGCAGAACATGGCCCAAATGTTTGGGCCCCTGCACCCATGTGGGAGACCTGGAAGAAGCTCCTGGCTCCTGGGTTCAGCCTAACTCCAGCCGTTGCAGCTACTTTGGGGGAATGAACCAAAAGCCTCACGGACATCAGGTGGAGAATTACCTGACTGAGTAGTGGGGCAACTAGCCCCAGACCACAGTTGCTTCTGGTTCTACTTACCAAAGCTTGAAAACCAGACCCAGAAGCCTTCCAGTTAACCTGATAGCAGAAAAAAACTTTCAAGAATATATATATATATATATTTTTTTTTGACAGGCAGAGTGGACAGTGAGAGAGAGAGACAGAGAGAAAGGTCTTCCTTTGCCGTTGGTTCACCCTCCAATGGCTGCCGCGGCCGGCGCGCTGCGGCCGGCGCACCGCGCTGATCCGATGGCAGGAGCCAGGAGCCAGGTGCTTTTCCTGGTCTCCCATGGGGTGCAGGGCCCAAGCACCTGGGCCATCCTCCACTGCACTCCCTGGCCACAGCAGAGAGCTGGCCTGGAAGAGGGGCAACCGGGACAGAATCTGGTGTGCCGGCGCCGCTAGGCGGAGGATTAGCCCATGAAAAGAATGCATTTTTTTCTGCACCCACTGAGGTAAACTTCACAATGCTTGGCATCTAGTAAAAAATTCTTGGCTTGCAAAGACGTAGGAAAGTAGGATCCATAATGAAGAAAAGAATCAACCATGGAAACCTACCCAGAAATGGCACAAGTGATAGCAAATAAGGACATTAAAACAGGTGTACTTATATGCCATATATTGAGGACATGAGGGCAACAGTTGAGCTTTAGACATGGCACATGTAAAAACAGACTCATTGAACTTCTAGAAATAAAAGAATCTTTAGTATGAAAATACACATGAGATTAATGGCAGAATTACATATTGCAGAAGAATTAGTGAACTTGAAGATACAGTAACAGAAATTAAAAACAAGGGGCCAGCGCTGTGTCATAGTGTATAAAGCTGCTGCCTGCAGTCCCGGCATCCCGTATGGGCACTGGTTCAAGTCCCAGCTGCTCCACTTCCGATCCAGCTCTCTGCTATGGCCTGAGAAAGCAGCGGAAGATGGCCCAAGTCCTTGGGCCCCAGCACCCACATGGGAGACCCGGAAGAAGCTCCTGGCTCCTGGCTTCAGATCAGTGCAGCTCCGGCCATTGAGGCCATCTGGGGAGTGAACCAGCGGATGGAAGACCTCTCTCTCTCTCTCTCTCTCTCTGCCTCTGCTTCTCTGTAACTCTACCTTTCAAATAAATAAATAAAATCTTAAATAAAATCTTAAATAAAATATAGAGAAAAATATTTTAAAAGTTTTTTTTTTTTTAATGAAGGAAACATCAGTGAATTATGGGATAACTTCAGATGGCCTTACTCGGGAATGTGTAAGTAGAGTCCTGAAGGGAGAAAGATAAAATATTTGAAGAAATAATGGCCCCGAGGTTTCCAGATCTGATGAAAACTGTAAAGCCACCAATCCATGGTCAGCAAAGCCTAAGCATAAGAAACATGGAAAAGGGGCCAGAATCGGTAGGCTGCCACCTGTAACTCCAGCATCCTGTATCAGAGTACTGGTTTGAGTCCTGGCTGCTCCACTTCCAGACCAGCTCCCTGCTAATGTTCCTGGGAAGGCAGCGTAAGATGGCCTACATGCTCGGGCCCCTGCACCCATATGGGACACCAGGATGGAATTCCTAACTCCCAGCCTTGGCCTGGCCCAGCCCTGGCCATTGTGACGATTTGGGGAGTGAACCAGTAGATGGAAGATTTCTTTCTATGTGTGTGTATACTTTTCTCTATCGCTCTGCCTTTCAAATAAATGAAAAAAAATTTTTTTTAAAATGAAGAAAATTACATTATCAGATTTCTTAAAGTCAATAATGATTTTTTAAAAATCTTAAAAGCAGCTTGATCTAAAAAGATGGATTACAGATAGACAAAGATAAGAATTATAGCAGATTTCTTGTTGGAAACATTTTAGGTAGAAGAAAGTGAGGTTACGTCTTAGAGTACTGAAAAAAGAAAACTGAACCTGAAATTCTGTACCAACTGAAAATATTTTTCAGAAATGAAGGCAAAATAAAATTTTTAGACATACAAAAGGTGATATGTATTATAGGAAGTGTTTAAGGAAATGTTTTAAGTAGAAGGAAAATGATACCAGATAAAGCTCTGGATTTATACCAAAAAAATACTGGAAATTATAACTATGAATAGACACAGAGGATTTTGTAATTTTAAAGCAGAAATAACTGTTTAAGGTTTATAGTATATGTGTGAACAAAATGTGAGACAAGAATAGGGCAGCAGCCAGGACAGGAAAGTAGAAGGACATTGTCAGATTATTATACTGTATGAGATTGTGGTTAATCATTTCAAGGTAGACTGGGATAAGTTAAATTTTATACTTTATTTTATTTTTTAAATTTACTTGACAGATAGAGTTATAGACAGTGAGAGATAGAGAGACAAAGAGAAAGGTCTTCCTTCCGTTGGTTCACTCCCCAATGGCCGCTACGGCCGGCACTGCACCAATCCGAAGCCAGGTGCTTCTTCCTGGTCTCCCATGCGGGTGCAGGGGCCCAAGCACTTGGGCCATCCTCCACTGTCTTCCCAGGCCACAGCAGAGCTGGACTGGAAGAGGAGCAACTGGGACTAGAACCCGGCACCCAAATTTTATGCTTTAAAGCATAAAGCAATCCCTAAGTTAACATGACAAAGAATTATAACTAAAGAGCTGAAAAAGGAGATAAAATGGAGCTACAAAAAATTCAATCCAGAATAGAATCTAAAAACAGAAGTGGAAAAAATGTAAGAGAAAATTAGATAACAGACTTAAACCTAACCATAGCTGTACCCATATTAAATGTAAATGGTTTAAATAACTCAGTTAAAGACAGTCACGCTTTTTGGCTCCTTAGACCCTCTATTCTATGTGTGCAGCACAAAAGGTTCCCTGGCACTAAACAGAATGTGTCAGCCTCAGTTCGTATGTTAATGCCTTCCCAGATGTACAAGGGGGACTTCATTTGTGGGCACAGCCTCCCTTTGCTCTGTCGTGACTTTCCGTAATGTCCCAGTACCTGCCAGGTAAGAATTTTAATCTTCACACTTAATGTCTTGCATTTAGCCTGTAAGAAAGGATTCATACAAGGAGAGATCAAGCCGAGTACATGTTCTGCTCTCTGTAGCCTGGTCTTAGGCAGTGTTTCTGAATAGGATGAGTGGGCATTTTTGATTGTCCTAGTGGGAGTGATGTCAGGAGGGGCACTAGTGGCATCTAGTGGGTAGAGGCCAGCAGTGCCACTAAATGCCCCACAATGCCCAGGACAGCACCCACGTGACAAAGAATTACTGGACCCACAGAGTCAGTAGTGCTCAGGCTGAGAAACCCTGGGTCAGAAGGACAGGGAGGGAAACCAGGTCTCAGGAGCCAGCCTGCCTTTGTCTTGCTTGGAGAATCGAGCTGGAGAAGGCAGGAGGGAGTTTCTTTCTCAGTCTGAATATACTCAGATACACCCTAGAAAATATTCCTTTGCATGTACTTCTAGCATGCGTCACATTGAATTACAGTTCACTGCGTTTGACATCTGTCTTTCATAATGTAAATATGGTAATTTGACAGTAGGTATTAAATCTAGTTACTGATTTTTATATCCCCAAAACTTAGATTGTTTAGCTAATTCCATGATCAGATGAATAGGATGAATGCCCCCCAAAAAACTATCTCAATAGTGTACCTGTAGCTCATTCTTATTAAACCCAAAATAAATTTCCGGGGATCCCTAATGGATCCACTTCTGGTGTCTCACCTATCTTCATGGAAGAAGCTTAATAAGTTATTACATGGTGGCACTCATTTATTCCTGGGATTGTGAATCAGATCAGTGTTATGTTTATAATATACAAATGAATATAAGGAAACTAAAATGTGGCCGTTTTCTTTAGCAACTATACATATTCCTATATGGACCTTTAGGTCTGCCTCTGATGTCGTCAAGTTGGAAGGAGCCAACTACTGCTATCTTCAAAGACACCTCTTATTTCATTGACTGGAAAAAATACCACTTGTGCATGGTGCCCCATTTGGATCTCGATTTGGACAAAGGTATACATGTATCTCCCCCTGAAAGGAGATTGAATGGAAAAATAAAAATCTAAGGAATATTAGAGAATCTTCAGAAAATATAAATAGCAGGTGTATATAAATATAGGACCCGGTGATTGGCTTAGGCAGGGGTGTGGGGTGGGGTTTTCTGAGTTTGCCGGTCTACCTGAAATGAGGCAAACAGGTATCAAACAGGCAGAGCCCCAGCAGAACCTAACTGAGTCAGCATTGTTCCTTGATACTGGTTCTCTTCCCACTCTGTCTACTGCCACCTTTTTGGGGTCCTTCTAGGGTCTTGTTTGTAGGGTTTCTAAAATTGTACCTTTTTTTTTTTTACAGGCAGAGTGGACAGTGAGAGAGAGAGACAGAGAGAAAGGTCTTCCTTTTGCCGTTGGTTCACCCTCCAATGGCTGCCATGGCCGGCACGCTGCGGCCGGTACATCGCGCTGATCCGAAGGCAGGAGCCAGGTGCTTCTCCTGGTCTCCCATGGGGTGCAGGGCCCAAGCACTTGGGCCATCCTCCACTGCACTCCCGGGCCACAGCAGAGAGCTGGCCTGGAAGAGGGGCAACCAGGACAGAATCCGGCGCCCCGACCGGGACTAGAACCCGGTGTGCCGGCGCCGCAGGCGGAGGATTAGCCTAGTGAGCCACAGCGCCAGCCTCTATTGTACCTTGATCTATCCATTTGAGGGCTTTAAAAAATGAGTGAGCAAGGACACCTTGAACTGTTGTGGAAAAGAAATGCTTCTTAATGAAGTAAGAACATTCACATAAAATTTTAAAAATTAAAACAGCACAAATGTAAGGCATCACTAGCATTGCACCTAGGAAGCTGGCTGCAATATTCATGTAGGGTCTTACCACATTGGCTTTTAGAGAATTAGGCTAAAACGTGGGTGGTTGATAACAGGACCAGTGACTACAAGTGGGAAACAGAAATATGGAACCCTGGACTGGTGCTAGGAGATCTACAGTTTTGAGCCTGACTGCTGTTAGCTAGAATCTTTTTTTTAAGATTTATTTATGTATTTGAAAGTCATAGTTACAGAGGGAGAGGAGATGGAGAGAGAGAGAGGTCTTCCATCCAATGGTTCACTCCCCAATTGCTCTGCCGATCCCAAGCCAGGAGCCAGGAGCTTCCTCCGGGTCTCCCACACGGGTGCAGGGGCCCAAGGATCTGGGCTGTCTTCTACTGCTTTCCCAGGCCACAGCGGAGAGCTGGATCGGAAGAGAAGCCGTCAGGTCTTGAACCAACACCTGTATGGGATGCCAGCGCCTCAGGCAAGGGCGTTAACCCGCTGAGCCACATCGTGGCCCCTTTTGAAGTCTGGATGGTAGTCTGGTCATTTGGATCCTGATAGAGATAATCAGTGAGGAAAAGGCGTTCTGGGGTTGTGACTGGCAGGGGAGGAGTGAACTGAGGATTGGCAGTGTCTCCAGGGGAATGGTAGGAGCTTCACCTGCGAAGTAAGCCTGGGATGAGGTGTGTTTTGTTTTGTTTTGTTTTCTCCTCTCTCTCTCAGGTAGGTAGTTTTTCCAAAAGATGGGGCTGAGAAGAAAGGGGTCCTTGGACAGGGTCCTCTAGAGGAAGTCATTTTGTGAGAACGGAATCATGCCATCAGTTGAAGAGGGACGACCTGGGTGAATTCTAGGGATGTTGACATCTCTTTCTCTGTTTCATTTTTATTTTCATGATACCTGAACTTGCTTGTTTGGAAATGGACAACATAGAAAAGGACCCCTTAATTCCTTCCTCATTACTCTAAAGGACAGAATCCAGATCCGCATAGAGGTATTTCTCTGTGTGGATCTGGAACGTAGGACAGTCCTGATTGTATTGAAGGCTCCAGGTGCTAGAACATGGCCATAGAGCATCAAAGTAGTTGAGAACCCAAACATCAGATAGTACTGGGGTTATGAACACAGATTTTGGAGTCAACCTAGCAAGGTCTAAAACAGTTCCACTACTCAGTAGCTCACGGTAAGCAAGATATTTAGCCTATCTATGCATGTTTTCTTATCTGTAAAATGGTTTAGCAATTCAGTCCTACCCCGTGGTGGTGTTATGAAGTCTAAATGTTAAAATAGTACTTGAAATGAATTTTATATGGTTCCTGATGCATCGTGCGAGTTAGTTGTTGTCATTACTCAGGTTAGACTCTGCCCTCTGCCTCTTGCTTGTCATATCTACCTTACAAGGTTATTTGAGGAATAATTGAGTTTTTGTGTAATACTTTCCAGTAAACGGAAAGGCGTGCTGTTTGGTTTGCGTTTTTCAGTAGATGAAGGAGCCGCTGAGCTAAAGCCAGCCCTGGTTTGCATTGTATACCCCGTTGTTATTTTGATGTTCTTCCTGTGAGTCACTGTTATTTGCCTCTGTTGTATGAATAGAAAAACAGGTTCAAGAGGGAGAAGTGAGTGTTTGCGTTTAACTCTCCTGTTCTCAGGTCTTTTTTGTTCAGGATATAGGTTGCTTAGTCGCTGAATATCTTGAGGACTTGATTATGTTGAAAATGTGTGTAATATCTTGTCCTCTAGATGTCATGCTTCCAGATGTGGGTTATCAGGTGGGATCCAGTCAGCAGGATCAGTCTCAGAATATGGACCCTCCAGGACGAACTCTGCTACTTTTTCTCTTTATGGATTTCCACAGTGGATTTCCAGTCCAGCAAACGGAACTCTGGGGTAGGTACAGGAGAATGGGGTTGCCAACTTGGGCGAGCCAAGTGCTAAGAGGATAAAAGGAGTTAGATATATTTCTGTAGAATAAAGAATTTCAGTGAAAAACCTTGCTTAATAAATTAAATGATATGCCCTGTGGAAAAGTGGGTGCAACACTTAAATGTGACATTCTCAGATTTCACTAGCCAGAAATCAGCAGACACTTCCTACAATGCTTCCTAAGAGTGTATCCCCTTAGAGCAGTGGTTCTCAACCTTAGTTGCATGATATATTACCTGGGGAATTTCTAAAATATGTCCCGGCCACACATACAGAGAGGGCTTTCCTTGGACAAAGGTGGGGCCCAAACTCAGTGTGAAAACCACTGAGTTTGAGTTTGTTTATGAATTTCTTAAAATATTTATTTATTTATTTTTGGAAAGAGTTACAAAGAGGGAAAGAGAGGGATATATCTTCCATCTGCTGGTTCATTCCCCAGATGGCCACAAGAGCCAGCGTTGGGCTAGGGTGAAGCCAGGAGCTTTATCAGAATCCCCCCTGTAGGTATCAGGGACCCAAGTACTTGGGCCATCTTCCACTGCTTTTACCAGGCCATTAGCAGGGAGCTGGATCAGAAGTGGAGCAGCTGGGACTTGAACCGGCACCCATATGGGATGGTGGTGTCACAGGCAGCAGCTTTACCCACTGTGCCGCACTGCCAGCCATGGTTTATGCATTTTAATCCAGTAGGCCTTGGGTTGTACACTTACTGTTGCTCATTGCCCTCCTAACCTTGAGGCAAGTTAGGAGAAGTGGAGCTGATACACGTTTGGGGAAGGTTCACGAGCCTCCCTCTTGGTGCCTCTGATGCATGTCAGTGCTCTCCTTGCGTGGGACTTGTGTCCTTGTGGGACTCTGCCCTGCAAGCATTCCAGTGCTGTGTTACGTGGCCCTGATCCCACCATGTCATACGACTGCTTATCACCCTGGATCAGGAGAGCTTATGTTGACTGGTGCCAACTATTTGTTGAACAAACCATAGCCAGCTCTGGGATTCTTCCTGCAGCCTTCCTTCAAGGCCTCTCCTGCTGTTTCCCCACACACATACTCGGGGAGAGAAGTTCCTGGGCTTGGGCTTGCAACTCTTTATTTGAGGAGCTCACGTTCTTTGATGCCCGGCTGTTCCATTGATTATGACCAGAAAAATGGGAACTATGAGACCCAAACTAATAACGCTTCAGCAAGGAGGTCTCAGGTGAGGACAACCAGGGCTGTTACCTGGCCTGTGTTCACAAGGACAGAGGTTGATAAGAAGAGCAGCTTAATGTGTGGAAGGGACTACAGGATAGGAACCAGTGACCGGGTTTGAGGCTGGTGTTGTGGTGCGGTGGGTTAAGTTGCCTCTTGCAGTACCAGCATCCTGCATTGAATGTCCAGTTGAGTCTTGACTGCTCTGCTTCCAATCCAGATTCCTACTGGTGTATCTGAGAAGCCAGCAAAGTGTGGCTCAAGTACTTGGGCCCCTGCCACCCATGTGCTAGAACAGGATGGATTCCAGACTCCTGGCTTTGGCCTGGCCCATACCTGCCTATTGAAGCCATTTAGGGAGTGAACAAGCCGGAGGGAGATCTCTTTCTTGCTGTGTGTCTCTCTGTCTCTCCCTGTCACTCTGCCTTTCAAACAAATAATCTTAAAAAAAAAAAAAGCAGAACTTTTTTTCCAGGCATGTGTTATATCATTTTAAAAAGAGAGAAAGACATCTGTGTTTAATTTTAGCTCAAACATCAGCTTCCTCAATGGTGCTTCGAAGCAGATCACATAAATCAACTTAGTCTTGCTTTGCATCTTTAACAAGGGATTGTTAGACTTGATGATGTCAGAGGCCCTTCCGATCTGAAGACCTCCTTAACAAGCTCTGCCACCTCCTATAGTTTGTTTTTTAAGTTTGCCAGAGGCTGATCCTGGATACCGTAAGCTTGATACCATGTTCTCAGTCCTATTGAATGTATCTTACAGACTCAGATTCCTCAGAAACCAGTGTTGCCTATTATTCTTATAGGACTCTGATAATTTATATACTTTCTTTAAAAACGGTTTATTTATTTATTTGAAAATCAGAGTTACACAGAGAGAGAAGGAGAGGCAGAGAGAGAGAGAGATCGATCATCCATCTGCTGGTTCACTCCTCAGATGGCTGCAACGGCCAGAGCTGCACTGATCCGGAGCCAGGAGCTTCTTCCGGGTCTCCTACATGGGTGCAGAGGCCCAGGCACTTGGGCCATCTTCCACTGCTTTCCCAGGCCATAGCAGAGAGCGGGATCAGAAGTGGAGCAGCCGGGATTGGAACCAGCACTCATGTGGGATGCAGGCACTGCGGGCAGTGGCTTTACCTGCTATGCCACAGTGCCAGCCCCTTATATACTTCTGCTTAGCTTGATTCTGAAAGCTTCCATTAGGTATCTTAGTAGTTGTCCTCAGTATTGGATTAAAAAGAAATTCATACCACTGAAAACAAGGACTCCACTTTCCCACCGCCTGGGATTTGTAAAGTATGCATCCGCGAGATTTGGTGCCCATTTGGACTTTCACAGTGGGAGATGGCAGTGAAGGTGTCAACATGAAAAACTGCCAAGTCTTGGTCTCCTCATCTGATATGCAAGATACTGGCAACATTATCATCAAGCAATGGCTGGCTTGTGTGTGAAGCCACCAGACGCCTACAGGGAGGCTGTGACGTCCTATTTCAGTTTCAGTGGTACTCCCCTCCTGCAGGTCTTCCTGTCGCTCTGGGGATAATGAGGTTGGACATTCCCTCATCCAGAGCCTCAAAGGACTCCCACTGAAGTTATTCACATTTCAGAAGCTCTGGGCCTTCTGAGAGCAGCAGGAGCCAGGCATCCAGGGAGAAGAACAAGCCTTGTCTGAGGAGGAGTTTGAGAACAAGTCAGAGGGGAGGTAAAGTGGGACCTGAGTGATGTGGCAGTCGCTGAGGAGTTCTGCCAGTGTTTTGCAGAGAGAAGAGCAATGGAGGCAGCAGTACTGGACGTGAAGCTCCTGGACGCTCATGTGAATGGGCACCATAACCTGGACTACAGCACCCACACCCACCAGGAGGCCCTGTGAGCAGCACCAGGCCAAGATCAAGGGCTTACACAGGACAGCAACGCTAAGGTGCAGGCCATGGAGGCGACAGTGCAGCTGAGCTTGGACGAGCACTGTGAAGGAGAGCAGCTCAAGTACTGTACCCTCTTTCCTCAAGTGCTGAGCTGGGGGCGCAGGGTCCTCTGGGAATGCTTTCCAAACAAGGTCCCCAGCCTTACAGCCGCACGTTGGGATATGCCGTCTTCATCTCTCCTATAAACTTCTGAGGGAGAAAAGACTTTATACTGAGACACGAGGAGGATTTGCCAGTCCCCTTGGCCCATCCTGGGGCGCATGTAGTGTGTCAGTCACTTGGAAGTGGGCAGGATGTATGTTGTTGCCAACAACTTCAACAGGAAGGTTCTCTTGACACGAAGTGATAATTTCATATATACTTCACCGGTTTTTGACATTGAAAAATAATAGTGTTCAGTTCATTAAATTCCTTCCTAGAGAAAGAAGGAGGAAGAAATTAATCACTGCATCAGCAAACGTAAGTGTCTTTAACCCCAACACCGGCAGCTCTGAGGAAGCTGCACAGTGAGGGCAGCCCGAGAAAGCAGTAACGGCGCCGCCTTATCCCTCTTCCTTCTCATATCCTTGAGAGCTTCCTCCAAACGCCTCAGGAAACAGATTGTGCAGAGTGACAGTCTGTCTCCATGTGTCTTTTTAAAAATCACTGAATTGGCCTCCTGCCCACCTTGTCATGGTAACTTTTCTATGATTAACTCATCATTCTGCTGCAACGTCAGCAGCATCTGGTAGTATCAGCAGTTTTAGAAATGAACTTTGGCTTTTTAATTACATGTCTGCTTTCAAAAGGGATCTGATTTCTTGAGGCTATTCTTAGGACCACACTGTAGAAACAGGAATCCACATGATATCATGGCAACAGCAGTGTTTCCCTTTGAACACTGCAGTGTGCATTGGAACAGTGTACACTTCAGAACACTTCTTATGTTGTATCCTGGTTTACACACACAACCTACCTGTGAGTAGGTGGCACAGAGCCTTGTTCTATACTGACGGGAGGAAGGGGAAGTGGCTGCTTCTCTACTAGTTGGTGGTAGAATTGATCCTAGAATCAGTGTTCTGTTTCTAGCTCCAGACTCCTTTTGAGCCAACCACTTTAGCCTCTCCACCAGAAAGAATCACTGTGCTTCGTGTAAATCTTCTCTCTGGCTTGCATTCTTAATGCAGTACTAAGGAAAAGCCAGCCAGCCTCAGGTGGTGTCTTTGAACAAAATATCCAGAGGAGAGCAGAAAAACACTGAGAACAGAAGATTCGTTAAGCAGCGCTTTGTCTAGGTGCTCTGTGTTTGTCTTCCTGTGTCTGTATGGTGCTCTTGCCTGTCATTCCAACGGTTGGCTTCTCTGCATGATGTCAAGTAGGGGTGCCTATTATTGAGAGATGATTCTCGATCTTTCTTGAAAAAAAAAAAAAAGATTATTTGAAAGGCGGAGTTAGAGAGAGAAGTAGAAATAGCTCTTTCATCCACTGGTTCACTCCCCAAATGGCCCCAGTGGCCAGAGCTGGGCTAGGCCAAAACTAGGAGCTTCATCTGGTTCTCCCACTAGAGTGCAAGGGCCCAAGGACCTGGGCCATTTCTGCTTTCCCTGGTACATTAGCAGGGAAATGGATCAGAAATGGAGCAGTGGGGATTTAACCAGTACATATTAACCTGTTAGACCACAATGCTGGCCTCAATAATTCTCCATTTAAAATGCCCTGAGGAAGCAGGATTCAGACTACAGTATAGCTGTTTAGTGCTGGATTGTCCTTCCTCTTGCTCAAAGTAAGGTTGTTTCTTACTATTCCTGTCTGCTCTATCCCTGTAGCAGCCAGGGACACTTGGTCTCATACAAGTAAATAAATAAAAATAAAAAAAATAAAAGGACCTGGGGTCAGCGCTGTGGCGTAGCAGGTAAAGCCGTTGCCTGCAGTGCTGGCATCCCATATAGGTGCCAGTTCGAGTCCTGACTGCTCCACTTCTGATCCAGCTCTCTGCTATGGCCTGGGAAAGCAGTGGAAGATGGCCCAAGTCCTTGGGCCCCTGCACCTGCGTGGGAGACCCGGAGGAAGCTCCTAGCTGCTGGCTTCAGATTGGTATAGCTCCGGCTGTTGCAGCCAATTGGGGAGTGAACCAATGGATGGAAGACCTCTCTTTCTCTCTCTCTCTCTCTCTCTCTCTCTCTCTCTCTCTCTCTCTGCCTCTCCTTCTCTCTCTGTGTAACTCTGCCTTTCAAATAAATACATAAATAAATCTTTCTTTCTTTCTTTTTTCAAAGAAAAAAGAGCTTGTACCAGCAGGTCTCAGAATTCATAATTTCCTCACCACAGCACATCAGAAAGAATTGACATGCTGCCAGCAATGGTGGCTCACCAGATGGTGACACTCAGCTAGGTGTGGAGGGAGTTAGCCACGCTCCAGAAGGTTGACCCTCTCACCCCTTCTCTTCTCCTGTGGGAGTCATCATTATTATTGTGGTATATATTTCTGGTGTGAATTAAACAGGATCATTTGTTTCTCCAGAAATAATTTTCTTGAACTTTCTTTCATTTGTAAGTGAGAACTGGGCGGGTTTAAAAGTTGCTGGGGGAGGGAAGAGGGTTATATTTAAAGAAAAAGTAGTTGCTTGTGCACAGGTAGGAGTGACCCCTTCCAGCCAGCACTGCGGCTTACTTGGCTAATCCTCCGCCTGTGGCGCTGGCACCCCAGGTTCTAGTCCTGGTTGGGGCACCAGTTCTGTCCCGGTTGCTCCTCTTCCTGTCCAGCTCTCTGCTGTGGCCCAGGAAGGCAGTGGAGGATGACCCAAGTGCTTGGGCCCTGCACCCACGTGGGAGACCAGGAGGAAGCACCTGGCTCTGCCTTCGGATCGGCACAGTGCCAGCCGTAGCGGCCATTTGGGGGGTGAACCAATGGAAGGAAGACCTTTCTCTGTCTATCTCTCTCTCTGTCTAACTCTACCTGTCAAAAAAAAATTAAAATAAAAAATTAAAAAATAAAGTGACCCATTCCAAGAGACATCTTTCGCAGTCCTGGTCCCGACTCCGAGCATGGAGCAGCGGTCTGGAAATAGTCATCCTTGCTCAGGGGTCTGATTGCCTCCTTCCCTTTAGGGGTCCACACTCTGCTCACAACTCACCTCAGTACCGTCCTCAGGGAGAGCCACAGTGCGGTGCGAGATTCCATCCAGTTCACCGTGGACCAAGTCCTGGGGCAGCATCATCAGGCCGTCAAGGTAATGAGAAATCCACAGGCTCCTTTCTCCTACTCTCGAATAAGGAGCGTAAGGCAGACAGGCCCAAAGAGCCTGTTCCTCTCCTTTTCTGTCCCCTAGGGTGACCTTAGAACCCTGCCTTGTAGCCTAGGAATTCAGGCTCTAACTTAGGTGGATCTCTGTAGTCAGCCTGTTCAGTCTTCCCTCCTAGTGGATGGATTTGAATAAACAGGGACAAAAATAATAGTGAACAATCGGAGGTGCTGTACCGGGGCCTTATCTCTGTGTCTCCCTTTCCCATACATACTTCTGGAGCTGCTGCTTCACTAGACTTTACATTCCTCTCCCATCTCCTAATTCTTCATACCAGGGCTTTTTTTGTGAAGATTTATTTATACATTTGAAACACAGAGCATGAGAGAGAGAGAGAGAGAGAGAGAGAGAGAGAGAGAGAGAGAGAGAAACATGCACAGCACAGTGCACTGTTCCAGCTGCTGGTTCACTTCCCAAATGGCCACAACAGCCAGGGCTGGGCCAGACTAAGCCAGGAGCCAGGAACTCCATCAGGTCTCCCACATGGGTGGCAGGGGCCCAAGCACTTGAACCACCCTCCACTGCCTTCCTGGGCGCATCAGCAGGACTCTGGATTAGAAGTGGAGGAGCTGGGACTCGAACTGGCACTCCATGCAGGATGTCAGTTTCACAAGTGGCAGCTTAACCGGCTGCTAACAACACCAGTCCCAGTGCCTTCTCTGCCTGCTTTGCTCAACTCCTCCATCACGTGTCCTTTCTTTTTTAACTCCATTTGACCTTCTCTTCAGAAAAAAAAAACACACACACACACACAAAGAGAACAAAACTTAAAGCTTTTCCTTTTTTTTAAAATAGTAAATATATCTATTCTATTGATCAATGCCTTACTGCTTATCTCTTCTGAATGCATCTGTGGCAGTAAGTTATGTCTATGAAAGGAGAGAGCATTTAAAAATGTTTGTAATCCAGGGCCGGCACTGTGGCGTAGCGGGTAAAGCCGCCGCCTGCAGTGCCAACATCCCATATGGGCGGGCACCAATTCGAGACCCAGCTGCTCCACTCCTGATCCATCTCTTTGCTGTGGCCTGGGAAAGCAGTGGAAGATGGCCCAAGGCCTTGGGGCCCTGCATCCGCGCAGGAGACCTGGAAGAAGCTCCTGGCTCCTGGCTTTGGACCTGCGTAGCTCCAGCCATTCCGGCCATTTGGGGAGTGAACCAGTGAATGGAAGACCTCTCTCCCTCCTCCTCCCCTTCCCCCTCCCTCTCCCTTTTTCTCTGCCTCTCAAAAAAAAAAAAAAATGTATAAGCCCTAAGGGTCATGATATGAAGCTATGTTATGATCTCAGTGTTTTTTCTGGGTCCAGGGCGGGGTGGGGGAGAAGGATGAAATCCTGCTGCTCAGACTGGAATCTCTGGCTCCTTTGGGATTCTCTGAGCCAGCAGCTTGGAACTATGCAGTCTCACCCTTCATGTCTCTTTATGTCCCCCAGACCCAGCAGAAACTGAAGGCCTCCCTCTCTGTGGCTGTGAATTCCATCCTCACCATTGTGACTGGGAGTACCGATGGCAGCTTCCGAAAGACCTGTCTCCAGGCCCTTCAGGTTAGCAGGGGACTGGGGCGGCTTAAAGGTACCAGGGCTTTAATGGCATTCAGTTACCTGTCTTAAAAAAAAAAAAAAAAAAAAAAAGAAAAGAAAAAAAGATGTATTTATTTATTTGAAAGGGAGAGTTACAGAGAGGCAGAGAAAGAGAGAGAGGTCTTTAATCTGCTGGTTCACTCCCCAGATGGCCGAAACAGCTGGAGATGCACTGATCAGGAGCCAGGAGCTTCCCTCAGGTCTCCCACGCAGGCGCAGGGGCCCAAGCACTTGAGCCATCCTCCACTGCTTTCCCAGGCCATAGCATAGAGCTGGATCAGAGGTGGAGCAGCCGGGACTTGAACTGGCGCCCATATGAGATGCCAGCACTGAAGGCAGTGGCTTTACCCTCTATGCCACAGCACTGGCCCCCAGTTACCTATCTTGTTATCAGGCCTAAGTGTTATCAGAAATATTTGTTGATTGTATAGTAGTGTGTATACTCTTTTATCAATGAGAATACAAGTTCTTTAAGATGTCTGACTCCTTTAGGCCACACAGCTAGCTAAGAGCCAAGCTGGGATGAGATCAGCGAGTCCCCGTGCCTTGTTTAGGAGTGCTCTGCTGTTTCATGTGACGGCACGTTGGGAATAACTGAGCAACTATAAGTATTACATGTATGTGACAGGATGCATGGGGCAGAGATTTTGGGAATCAGAGGCTTGGGTTCAAATCATGACTCATTTATTTACTAGCTATGTAGATTTAGCCTGTATTTAACTTCTCTGAGCTCATCTACAAGTTGTAAAAAAAAAAAAAATGCTTCTTCACAGGGTTATTATGAAGGTGAGGGCTAAGTGTGTGCTGTATATTTACACAGAACAGCCTCCATCCACTGGCTCACTCCCCAAATGGCCACACCAAAGCCAGGACTGGAAGTAGAGCAGCCAGGACTCCAACCTGCACTCACATGGGATGCCGGCAGCTTAACCAAATGTGCCACAACACTGGCCCCGGTGCTTCATTTTTATGCATGTCTTTCCTTAAAAAGATAACATAACACAAAATTTTAAATAATAACTAATTTTGTCACTATAATTTATAATTTTTCATATTATCTCATGTTATACAGTTGCCATGAGAACATTCCATTTTAATATATAAGTTGACATTTTCCATTTCAACAGTCTTAGGATTTTGTTTTGGTTAATCAGTATTCTACTGTGTCATTTTAATCTAAACCATTCATCTAATGTTAGACATTTAAGTTGGTTACATTCCTCCTGATATAATGCTTCAGTTGATACCCTTGTATGATGTTGTCTCTTGAATTATTTCTCAGAATAAGTTTCTATAAATGGAATTAACTGGATCAAAGAGTTAAATACCAGGGCCAGTATTGCGGCATAATGAGTTAAGCCACCACCTGTGTCGCCAGCATCCCATTTCAGCACTGGTTCAAGTCCTGGCTGCTCCACTTCCAATCCAGTTCCCTCTACTAATATGCCTGGGAAAACAACAGAAGATGGCCCAAGTGCTTGGGTCAATGGGAGACCTAGATGAAGCTCCTGGCTTCAGCCTGGCCAAGCCCCGACTGTTGTGGCCATTTGGGGGAGTGAACCAGCAGATGGAAGATCTCTCTGTCTCTCTGTGTAACTCTACCTTCCTTTCAAATAAAGAAATAAATCTTTAAATTTTTTAAGGAGTAAAATACCTTTATAAGTTAGTGTATTTTATCATTGCTTCAACTTTCTGGGTTATGTGGGTAACTCAGAGTATGAGGAGAATACCTGATTAGGAATTCCAAGATATGCATTAAGGCCCTAACTTTCGTACTAATTAGCCGTGAGATCTTGACTGGGTCACTTCTCCTTCATGTGTTTTAATCTCTGATCTATAACATTAGTGTATTGCATAGGTGATTACTCTGGTCCCCCTTAACTCTAACACTGTGTATTAAAAAATAGAATGCGCTTACCCATTCACTGTGGGTGAAACGGTATTCTTTTGTTCCTGTCATCTGTAAAGGTCTTAGTTGAGGAAAAGCTCTTCAGTCAGCCTCTGCTGTCCAGTAGAATCTGGGAGTTTATTTTACAGAACCATTTATATAACCCCTCAGGAACAGACAGCTCTCTGGGACACTTATCTCCTCCTGCAGAGTTAGGGGAAAAGGCCCTGGTTTGAAGGTTCTTGCTTGGGTGACAGAAATGGGAAGGCATACACGATCCACACTCCCTGTCTCGTGGCAAGTGTCCCAGGCCTTCTTTCTGTCTCGTCTCTCCTGCCTCTAGGGAGACTAAGGAAACTTCCAACACTGAGAGGGATGTTAGTGTTCTACCTCCCTACCTGCCTTATGCTTCCGCCGTATAAACTTCCTGTGAATAGTCCCTCTTGGTGTCCAGGACTGGGCCTCAGTGTGTTCTCTCTGTCTCATTCTAGGCGGCTGACACACAGGAGTTTGGGACCAAACTGCACAAAGTATTCCATGAGATCACGCAGCACCGATTTCTTCACCAGGGCCCATGTGACAGGAAGCAGGTAAATGTGAAGTAAGAATCAGCACTCCGGGAGAAGCCTTCCATGTTGCTCTGCGAGAGTTCTGAATCAGCGGAGATACGGTGCTTCAGACCCCACAGTCGGAGGCTAGTCTTTCAGCAGGAAGTCTGTGATTCAGAAAAACTGTGTGAGACATAGTGTTATACAGAGGCTAGGAGCCGACATAGTGTTATACAGAGGCTAGGAGCCGACATAGTGTTATACAGAGGCTAGGAGCCCAGATATAGTGTCATACAGAGGCTAGGAGCCCAGACATAGTGTTATACAGAGGCTAGGAGCCCAGACATAGTGTTATACAGAGGCTAGGAGCCCAGATATAGTGTCATACAGAGGCTAGGAGCCGACATAGTGTTATACAGAGGCTAGGAGCCCAGATATAGTGTTATACAGAGGCTAGGAGCTCAGACATAGTGTTATACAGAGGCTAGGGGCCGACATAGTGTTATACAGAGGCTAGGAGCCCAGACATAGTGTTATACAGAGGCTAGGAGCCCAGACATAGTGTTATACAGAGGCTAGGAGCTCAGACATAGTGTCATACAGAGGCTAGGAGCCCAGTTAGGCATGGCTTGAATTCTGCTTCTGCCACTAACTAGTTGTTGGCATTCATGTGGACGTTATTTAACATTTTAAAGCCTCAGTTTCTTTTTTTTTTTTAACTGTTATTTATCTATTTGAAAGGCAGAGTGATGGGGCGTAGTGGGGGGCAGTGGGGAGAGACAGATCTCTGGTTCACTCACGAAATGGCTGCAATAGCTGGGGTTGGGGCTGGGTCAGGCTAAAGCTAGAAGCCAGGAATTAGATCCAGTCTCCGTGAGCGGCAGGGCCCAGAGCACTTGGCCATCTTCCACTGCTTTCCCAGGAGCATTCGCAGAGATCTGGAGTGGAGGTGGAGCAGCTCAAACTGGCACTCCAGTGTGGGACGCAGACACTGCGGGTGGGGGCTTAGCCTGCTGCACCGTACTGTGGCCTCCTCTGTATCAGTAAAGTAGGAGTGATGTACACCTAAAATAATTGTTTTGAGGTATGAATAAGATAAAGCATGCAAAATGTCAAGCACATAGCTACTATTATAATGGTGATGATATGGTGGGATTTTTATGATTATGTTGAATCAAAAATCATGTTTATCTGCCTTCCTGGCTGCTGGAGATCCAGGGTTGCATTAGTTGCAGGTTCTACCCTCAAGGAGGTCAAGTCACTAGCTCTGTTGGTGATGGTCTTCTCTGACAAGTGAGGGGAAGTCGTGCCTAGGGAAGCCTGTGTCTCCAGATTCCATGCGTAGCTGGTAATAGTGGTCCCACTGGGAGCCCACTTTTCTGGCTCTCTTGGCCCTGTTAGAACTGGCACACCTCTGGTCCTTTTTAACAAAGCTTAAAAATAGAAACAAGGGGGCTGCCGCCTGCAGTGCTGACATCCCATATGGGTGCTGGTTCGAGTCCCAGCTGCTCCATTTCTGGTCTAGCTCTCTGCTATGGCCTGGAAAGCAGAAGAAGATGGCCCAAGTCCTTGGGTCCTTGCACCCACATGGGAGACCTGGAAGAAGCCCCTGGCTCCTGGCTTCGAATCGGCACAGTTCCAGCCATTGCAGCCATCTGGGGAGTGAACCAACGGATGGAAGACCTCTCTCTCTCTCTCTCTGTCTGCCTCTGTCTCTCTGTAACTCTGCCTTTCAAATAAATAAATCCTTTTTTAAATTTTTGTTTAAAGATTTATGTATTCATTTGAAAGTCAGAGTTACACAGAGAGAGGAGAGGCAGAGAGAGAGAGACAGAGAGAGGTCTTCCATCTGTTGGTTCACTCCCCAGATGGCTGCAATGGCTAGAACTGTGCCTATTCGAAGCCAGGAGCCAGGGGCTTCTTCCACATCTCCCATGTGGGTACAGGGGCCAAGAGCTTGGGCCATCTTCTGCTGCTTTCCCAGGCCATAGCAGAGAGCTGGATAGGAAGTGGAAAGCTTGAATTGGCACCCATATAGGATGCCAGCACTGCAGGCAGCAGCTTTACCCACTACATCACAGCACTGGCCCCACATTATTGACTTTTTTAAAAAATATGTATTTATTTATTTGAAAGGTAGAATTACAGAGAGGCAGAGAGGTCATCCATCTGCTGGTTCACTCCCCAAATGGCTGCAAAGGCTGGAGCTGGGCCCATCAGGAGCCAGGAGCATCTTCCCAGTCTCCCACGCAGGTGCAGGGGCCCAAACACTTGGGCCATCTTCTACTGCTTTCCCAGCAGAGAGCTGGATCAAAAGTGGAGCAGCTGGGACTTGAACCAGTGCCCATATGGGATGCTGACACTGCAGGCAGCAGCTTTACCTGCTACGTCACAGTGCCAGCCAGCCCCACATTATTGACTTTTTAAACCAAAAGTAGTAACAATGCATTGTTAGGTTCATGTCCTACGTAGAAGTAAAATTTATGAAACAATAACACAAAGAACAAAGAAATGGAAATAATATTCTTTTAAGATTTTTTTTAAAAGATTTTATTTATTTATTTGAGAGGTAGAGCGAGTTATAGACAGAGAGAGGGAGAGACAGAGAGTTAGGTCTTCCATCCACTGGTTCACTCCCCAAATGGCCACAACGACCAGGGCTGTGCTGAACCAAAGCCAGGAGCTTTTTCCAGGTCTCTCATGCAGGTTCAGGGGCCCAAGCACTTGGGCCATCTTCTGCTTTCCCAGACCATAGCAGAGAGCTGGATCAGAAGAGGAACAACAGGGACTAGAACTGGCACTGCAGACAGAGGCCTAGCCTGCTACGCCACAGCACTGGCTCCTCTTTTAAGATCTTATATATGTAGAGTGATATTACTTGAAAGTAGACTAATAAGTGAAAGATGGACATTTAAAGTAACACAAGAGGCTGGTGCCGCAGCTCCCTAGGCTAATCCTCTACCTGCAGCGCCAGCACCCAGGGTTCTAGTCCCAGTTGGGGCACTGGATTCTGTCCTGGTTGCTCCTTTTCCAGTCCAGCTCTCTGCTGTGGCCCGGGAGTGCAGTGGAGGATGGCCCAAGTGCTTGGGCCCTGCACCCCATGGGAGACCAGGAGGAAGCACCTGGCTCCTGGCTTTGGATTGGCACAGTGCGCTGGCCGCAATGCGACGGCCGTAGCGGCCACTTGGGGGGTGAACCAATGGAAAAAGGAAGACCTTTCCCTTTCTCTCTCTCTCTCTCTCTCTCTCTCTCTCTCTCTCACTGTCTAACTCTGCCTGTCAAAAAATAAAAAAAAAATTAAAAAAAATAAAGTAACACAAGAGTTATACCTAATAAGCCAAGAAAGAAGATAAAATGGAATCATAAAAAACTCAACCTAAAAAATGACAGAAAAATAAGGAAAAAGAAGAAAAGATAATACAAATAGGAAACAGTTATCAAAATGATATATTTGAACCCTGCCATATCAATTATGACAATAAGTTTAAGTGGTCTAAACAATTCAATTAAAAAGCAGAGGTTGTTAGATTGGATAAGGAGACAAGAGCCAACTACATTCAATCTTCAAGAATTCCACTTTCAATATAAAAGAAGATTTTTTAAAATGTTTTATATATGTTATATTTATGTATTTGAAAGTCAGAATTAAAGACAGGTTGACAGAGAGTCTGCAACTACTGATTCACTCCTCAAATGGTCACAACAGCCAGGTCCGAGCCAGGCTGAAGCCAAGAGCCTGGAACCCTGTTGGATCTCCCACATGGGTGGCAGGGGCCCAAGTACTTGGTCCGTCTTCCACTGTTTCCCCAGGTGCATTAGCAGGAAGCTGGATCCAAAGTGGAACAACCAGGACTCAAACTGGCACTCATGGGATGCCAGCCATCATTGCAGGCAGAGGCTGAACCCACTGTGTCACATTGCCAGCCCCCATAAAACGAGTCTTAAGGAGAGAAAAAGATGCGCAGGGCCGGCGCTGTGGCACAGCAGGTAAAGCCACTGCCTGTGATGCTGGCATCTCATATGGGCGCTGGTTTGAGTCCTGCTGTAGGCATTTGGAGCGTGAACCAGCAGATGGAAGTTTATCTTGATGTGGTGATGTTTCACAAGTATGTACGTATGTCAGAACTGAAGTCTGCACTTTATTTACACACACAAGCACACACACACAGCTTGCCAGTTATATAGCAATAGAGTTGTTATTAAAGAATTATGCGCCCGTGTCTGAGAGACTAACAGTCTGCAGCACCTCCTCTACATCTTTTCTCCTCCTATCTCTACTGCCTGATTGGATGAGCAAGTTTTGGTGTCTTGGCACCCAAGGATCGTGGCATCCCGTGGATTTGCCATCCTCCTCTTGGGTGTAGCCCAAAAGGCAAGGCCAGCGGAAACCTGCTTGTAAGTGCACCCTTGACCACACCTTTTTTCATGGCTCTGTGTCCCTTCTACGGCGCTTTTTCCTTGGATTGTGTCTGCTGTTCCTTTCACCTGGTTCCCTGCAAATACTCTGGCCAGTTTCCCTTGAACTTGGAGGGCTGCTGCCCAGACCTTGAGCAAATAAAGCCAAGACCCATTGTGTCAGTCCCCTAGGGATTCTGTAAGAAACTGCCATCATCATGATGACTCAAAAACAACACACTTATTCTCTCACATTTATTCTCTGAAGTCCACAAGTCCAAAACCAGGGTGTTGGCAGGGCCACGTTTCCCCCAAGGGTGGGAGGGGAAAACCCTTCCTGGCCTCTTCCGGCTTCTGGTGGGAAGTGTTCCTTGGGCTGCGGTTTGTGTAATTCCAGTCCTTACCTCCATCTTTAGCCTTTCCCCATGTATCTTTCAAATCTCCCTCTGCGTTTTAAGGACATCTGTCATTGGACTTGAGGCTCACCCCAAGTCCAGGATGATCCAATCTCAGGATTGCTCATTATATCCACAAAGACCCTTTTCCCAGATAAGCTTACGGTCACAGGTTCTGGGGCTGTAACTTGGACATGGTGGGAGTACTGCAGCTATCCACATCTTCAGCTTTCTGGGGTAGGTTTAGGGTAGGTCACGGACCATTGTAGGACCCAGGGCCTAGGGCTCTTCAGCCTGTGAAGTTCTTTGCTTGGGCTTCTCTGATATCCCAGTGAGATCTCAAAGATAAGGATGTGACCTCTTTCACCCAGTTCCCTGGCTGCAGTGATGGCCGACAGCTCCAGGGCTATCCATAGCCGAGCTCACTTGGCAGATGGCTCACGACCTCAGGGTCTCACCAGAGGTAACAGGTCTTGGGAGGAAGTCCCCGACCTGTGCAAGGGTTTGCACATTAATGTCTGTAAAGATGTTTCTAGTGAGATCATAGTTTCACAGCTGAGGATGTGTATTGAGACCTCCTGGCTCCTGAGCCTAACACTGCTACCATGCAGGACTGGAAGGTGAGTCCAGGGACTGAGAGAGATTGGGGCCATCCAGGAGGGCCCATGTTTCCTGTGGTAATGGCCATTCAGAGATAGCTGACTTGTTAGTGGCTTAAGAGAGACACCCAGTGGTTTCAGCGAAGAACTACAAGATTGAGGATGGAGAGTCAAGATTCTTCCAGCTCTGGGCCAGTTCCTGTTTCCATTTCCAAACAGGAAGGTGGAACAGCACACCACCCATAGTGTTCGCGGAGAAATGGAAGAAGTAAGGGGAAACATGTTTAGCATTTTATAGAAAGCATTCTGGGAAAGGCCATGTGAGCATGGATTCCAGCCTGAGTACTGGACCAGAGTGGGCTTGGTGTTACAGACGAGGGTGGAACTGAGCTGAAGCTGCAACAGGGCGGCGGCTGCCCAGGAAGGGCGTTGTTTCCTGGGGGGTGAGGGTGGGCTCCAAGGAGGTGCATCCTGAGCACGGGGCTGTCTCTTCTGGGCCCAGATGCGAATGAAGGGGAAGTCCTCTGAGGCTCAGAGCTTATATCCCAATGCGGCTCGTTCCTTGGCAAGACCAAGGATAGGAGAAGGTGTATCTATTGAGAATTTTCAGATTAGAGTGAATTTTTAAAAATTGAGGGTAAGCGTTGTAGCACACCAAGTTACCCATTGCTTGGGATGCCTGCATCCCGTATCAGAGTGCCTGGGATAAACACACACCTCCACTTCCGGTCCAGCGTCCTGCTAACACACACACTGGGAGGCAGCAGATGATGGCCCAAGTACTTGGGTTTCTGCCACCCATCTGGGCAACCTGGGTGGAGTTCCCGGATTCTGGCTCCCGCCGGCCCAGCCCTGACTGTTGTAGGCATTGGAGAGTGAACCAGCAGATGGAAGATTTCTGTTTCCCTCTTTTGCTCTGCATTTCAAATTAATAAATTTTAAAATGCTTTATCAAAAAAAGTTGGGAAGTTTCCTAATACTGTTTTCCTTCATACCCTTAAGGTGCCTGCCCCTTCAGTGTTAGTTAGAATGTAGAAATTGAAACTTGTTTTAGTAAACAATACATGGTAGAATACTTGAGATACAATTTATACACTGTAAAATTGTCCATTTTGAAGTGTCCAGTCCAGTGGTTGTCAGCAAATTCACCGTGTCATGCAGCTACCATCACTTAGTTCTAGAACACGTCCATCACACCAAAGGAAAACAACACCATTAACAGTTAGCTCCAGCGCCCCTCCGCCTCCCACCCCTGGCCACCACTAATCTACTTTCTGTATCTCTGGCTTTGCTTATTCTGAAATTTTTTTTTTTTTTTGACAGGCAGAGTGGACAGTGAGAGAGAGAGACAGAGAGAAAGGTCTTCCTTTGCCGTTGGTTCACCCTCCAATGGCCGCCGAGGCCGGCGCGCTGCGGCCGGCACACCGCGCTGATCCGATGGCAGGAGCCAGGAGCCAGGTGCTTTTCCTGGTCTCCCATGGGGTGCAGGGCCCAAGCACCTGGGCCATCCTCCACTGCACTCCCTGGCCACAGCAGAAAGCTGGACTGGAAGAGGGGCAACCGGGACAGAATCCGGCGCCCCGACCGGGACTAGAACCTGGTGTGCCGGCGCCGCTAGGCGGAGGATTAGCCTAGTGAGCTGCGGCGCCGGCCATTCTGAATATTTTGTAAAAATGAAACCATGTAGTATGTGGCTTCCTGCATTTAACATGCTTCCAAGGTACATATTATATAATAGCCCTACATCCATTCCTGTGACTGCATCATGTTCCATTATATGAGTATCTCACATTTTATTTATCCATTCATCAGTTGTTGAACACTTGAATTTTTCCTACTTTTCAGCTAATACAAGTAATACTGCCATGAACGCTGTTATGGGGCCTGTGTCTATATTCTCTGGATATGTATCTAGGGGCAACATTGCTAGGTCATAGGGTATCTCTCTGTGTTCAACTTTATTTTTTAAAGATGTATTTATCCATTTGACTGGAAGAGTAACACTCATTTACTTCCCAAATGGCCACAATGGCTGGGGCTGGGCCAGGCTGAAGCCAGGAGCCTGGAGCTGCATCCAGGTCTCCCACACGGGTGGCAGGGCCCAAGCACCTGGGTCATCTGCTGCCTTCCCAGGTGCACTAACAGGGAGCTGGACTGGAAGTGGAGCAGCCGGGGCTCCAGCCCACTGCGCCACATGCAGGCTCCTATGTTTAACCTTTTGAGGAGCTGCTGCAGTTTTCTGTTCCTGCCGGCACTCTGTCTTGGTCCTGGTTTTTCCACATCCTCCTCAGGAGGTTCTGTTGCCTTCCTAGAGAGCACAAGGTGGTCGTGCTGGTTTCGATTCGCATTTCTCTGATTAATAGGAATGTTTACCATCCTGTCACGTGCTGTTAGCCATTTGTATATCTTTTTCAAGAAGTGCCTATTAAGATCCTTTCCCGTTTTTAATTGGATTTTTATTGTTGAGTTTTAGTAGTTCTTTACCCAAGATAAAAGTGCCTTAATACGTATGATTTGAAAATATTTTCTTCTACTCTTAGGAGTTTTTTCAGTTTTTCGTAATGTCCTTTGAAGCACACACTTCTGATTTTGCTGGAGAAACCTATTTCCACATTTCTATGAATAAGGAGCTGTGAGGACTGGGTCCTGTCCCCGCGCCTGTTCTCTGTGCAGACTGGATGAACCAGGGTAGCAGGTTCGGAAAGGCTCCTGTGGGCTACACCACATGCCCTGCGGCCTCCCAGGTTTACCGCCAGTCACCCGCTGACCCTTGTAAGGCTCTCTGCTGGCTGTCAGGAGACACGGGCGTGGGGAGTTCCAGGTGACAGTGGACGTTCACACGTAACAGGGACGAGCAGGCGCGTGCAGGCCTTGCTTCCGAGTGGCAGGAGTGGGGCGGACGGTAGGTTACGTGTTGGCAGCACGGAAAAGGAGACCCAGCGGTGGCCAGAGCCGCAAAAGGGCCCTCAGGAGTGGGGGCAGAGTGCACCCCCAGGAGGTGAGGGAGGACGCCGGCCCGGGAGAGCGGCCAGCACAGCGCTGCAGCCACGTCCGGTCGCTAGGGCTCAAGTTCGTGCTCTTGCAAAGCTCACTTGGGACTTCTCATTTCTCACGCAGCCGAGCCCACAGGAAAAGGACTCAGCCCCGAGGACCCAGGCCGCCCGTGAGCACACCTGCCCAGAACGCTCTGCAGGTAAGGTTTCAGCTGCTCGGGTGGGTCCTCACTGCTCTTTCAAACTCCTCTGGCTCCCCCCACCCACGTGGCAGTCCCTCCCAAAAGCTAGGACTGCAGATTCCTAGTACGGTTTGTGCAGTCACGGGCAAGCAGCGCCTGTTGGGCAGAGCGGGTGCAGGGGTAATGAGCAGGCTCAGGGCCTGGATTCCGCCGGTTTCTTCACATCTTTTCTCCGTCATTCGTGCCGCGCCCGCAGCTCTTCCCGGTTTTAGTTACTACTCCGTTTCAGCTCTGGAGCTGCCCCGAGCCGGGTACCTCGGGTTGTGATGCAATGGCAGTTATACTGAAGCCATGTCCCTCCCCAACAGCTCGACAGCTGCAGGGCCCCCAGCAGCCAGGGTACAGCCGCTCTGTGTGGTCACCGACCGCTGGCTGGTGCCAGGCTCTACCCAGAGCTCTCAAAGTCTGTCATGATGCTGTGACGTATAGGTTCTGTTCTTACTCTCATTTCACGGGTGAGGAAAGAGGCCCAGAGATGACCGGGAACTCCGGGGCCATGAGCTAGAACATCAGAGCCAGAACTGAACCCAGCAGCCCTCCCGCAGGTCCCGAGTCCTTCGGACAAGACAGGGCCGGGCTGGACGCAGTGTGGGAGTGACTTCAGCCCCTAGAGACAGGGCCGGGCTGGACGCAGTGTGGGAGTGACTTCAGCCCCTAGAGACAGGGCCGGGCTGGACGCAGTGTGGGAGTGACTTCAGCCCTTAGAGACAGGGCCGGGCTCTGACTTCAGCCCTTAGAGACAGGGCCGGGCTGGACGCCATGTGGGAGTGACTTCAGCCCCTTAGAGACAGCTGCCACGTGCACGGCGCCCGGGTCAGTCTGCCACTCGCGCCATTTGTCGCCAGTTGGGGGTAGGAGGCAGTCGTTGCTCAAGTCCGCAGCGGAGGCGTGTGCACAGCAGACACTGTACTTCAGGTCAGGTTTAAGAGATGTGAGTGCGCGGCTTACAACTCAGAGTCTGTGCAGTGAGGAGAGGGATGCACACGGAACCCAGGCCCTCTCGTGGGCGCCCTGGGGTGCTGGCCTCGCCACAGGCGGGGTTTCACGTGGCCAGCTGCCTCCCCTGAGGCCTCTGACGTGGCAAGGCGTCTCTCCGGGAAAGTCCTCTTCACCCCGAAGCTGACATCTCTCGTATCGGAGACTGACAGACTCCCCCGGTTCCCCTGCTCCCCGCCTCTGGAGCCCTGGCCAGGAGCCCACCCCACTCCCTCCTGACTTCCCGACGGGCGTGGGCACTCCACGAGGGCCCGCTTCAACCCCTGACCACGATCAGCTCCTCTCCCTCCACCTCCGGCCCGGTCAGCGGCGCTGCCGTGTGGCTACCAGCCTCTGCGAGGCCTCCCACGAACACCTCTGACCCCCGGTGGGCCCAGCCCCACCCCCGCCTGCTCGGGTCCTCGCCTGTGCGGTGAACGTGTCCACAACACCGGCAACCCTGCACTGGCCGCCTCCTTACTCCCACCGGAACAATCCACTTCCGACCTTCGGCCGTGGGCGCAGCGGGGCCTTCGTGTGGGTGCCGCTGGATGCGGTGCACGAAGGCTCCCTTCATCCCTCATCCCTCAGGCGTCTCCCCAGGGAGCCCTCCCGCCCCCAGAGGGGGGGCGGCGTCCGTCTCCTCCCCCGGCCCTGGCCACCTCCTGCCCCCAGGCCCTGCCCAGCGCGAAGGGAGCGGAAAAGGGGGAGGGGCGGGGCGGCCCGGCAGCGCGGACCCCAGAACGGGCGGCGGGCCTGGAGGGGGCGGCGGCCCCAGCTGCCCCTCCCCAGGCCCGCGTGCAGCCTCGGCCTGCTCAAGGCCGCGCGGGACAAGGACCAGGACAGCTGCTCGGCGCCCGCGCCCGCGCCCCCGCGAAGCCCGGGCCACGCGAGTCCGCCCCGGGCCACGCGAGTGCGCTGCAGTGGGGCCGTTCCTCGCAGAGAACAAGAGGCTCAAGACGGGCGTGGACGAGACGCGAGCCCCGAGCCCGGCGGCAGCGGCCGCGCGCCGCCCCGAGCCCCGCGCGGCCCCGGCCCCGGGCGCGCCGAGCCCCGGGCGTGGCCTGGAGGTAGGAGCGGGGGCCGCGCGGGGAGGGCGCGGAGCGGGCCGCCCCCGGGGGTCCTCACCCGGGCCCCTCTGCTCCCGCAGGAGGCGCTGTGGCTGCGGGAGGTCTCCAATCTGTCCGAGTGGCTGCGTCCCTGAGCGGGGCGCGTCCCCGGGGGCCGCGCGCGATCGGCGCCGTCCGAGCCTCAATAAAACTGCTCCGCACGCCGCGGCCGCCTCTCTGAACCCGGGGCCGAACGGGCCGGGGCGGGGCCGGGGGCGGGGCCGGGCCCGAGAGGGGCGGGCGGGGGCGGGGCCGGGCGACCCGGGGGCTGGGCCGGGCCGGGGGCGGGGCAGGGGGGGCCGAACGGGCCGGGGGCGGGGCCGGGCGACCCGGGGGCGGGGAGGGGGCGGGGCCGGGCCCGAGAGGGGCGGGCGGGGCGGGCGGGGCGGGGCCAGGTGACCCGGGGGCGGGGCGGGCCGGGTGGCCCGGGCGAGGGGCGGGCCGGCAAGGGGGCGGGGCCGAGGGCCAGGTGGCCCGGGGGCGGGGCGGGCCTGCCGCCTGACGTCACCGCACTTCCGCGGGGCCGCGTCACTGCTGCGCGCCGCGGGTGCGGGCGCGATGGCGGCGCTGGGCGGGGACGGGCTGCGCCTGCTGTCGGTGTCGCGGCCGGAGCGACAGCCCGAGGCGGCGGCGCTGGGCGGCGCGGGCCCGGGGCTGTGCTGCTGGGTGTCGGTGTTCTCCTGCCTCAGCCTCGCCTGCTCCTACGTGGGCAGCCTGTACGTCTGGAAGAGCGAGCTGCCCAGGTGAGGACGCTGCGCGCGGGGCGGGCCGGGGGCGGGCCGGGGGCGGGGCCGCGGCGGGGCGGCGGCGACCTCCGAGCTCGGCGTCCCCTCCTAGGGACCACCCCGCCGTCATCAAGCGGCGCTTCACCAGCGTCCTGGTCGTGTCCAGCCTGTCTCCGCTCTGCGTGCTGCTCTGGCGCGAGCTCACGGGCATCCAGGTGCGAAGAGGCGGGCGGGCGGGCGGGGCGTCCGTGGGAGGAGCCGGACTGATGCCCCCGTCCTGTGGCTCAGCCAGGCACATCCCTGCTCACCCTGATGGGCGTGAGGCTGGAGGGCATCTTCCCCGCGGCTCTGCTGCCCCTGCTGCTGACCATGGTGAGTGCCGTCCCCCCCGCCCCGTGGCGCCGACAGCACGCGCCCTGTGGCCCTTGTGTCCAGGTCGTGTCCCGGTGAGAGCCTGGCCCCGGGAAATCCTGGCCGAGACCGGGATGCGTGAGGCTCCGAGGTTTGGGCAGAGGCCTGGTGGTCAGAGCCCAGATGTCGGCTCCTGCTTCTCCAGATCCTCTTCCTGGGCCCGCTGATGCAGCTGTCCATGGACTGCCCCTGCGACCTCACAGACGGGCTGAAGGTCGTCCTGGGTGAGTCCTCGGCGAGGGAGCGTGGGCACAGGCCACGCGGGACAGTGGGGGAGGAGAGCCAGCCTCTGTGCGCGGGGGCGTGGAGCTGCGTGACCTCTGTGACTCGGTTCTCTTTAAGATGTATTTATTTATTTGAAAGAGTTAGAGGAGAGGCAGAGAGGGAGAGAGAGAGAGAGAGAGGTCTTCCATCTGCTGGTTCACTCCCCAGATGGCCGCAAAGGCTGGGGCTGAGCCGATCTGAAGCAGGAGCCAGGAGCTTCCTCCAGGTCTCCCAGGGGGTGCAGGGGCCCAAGGACTGGCCATCCTCCACTGCTTTCTCAGGCCACAGCAGAGAGCTGGATCGGAGGTGGAGCAGCCGGGACTAGAACCGGTGCCCACATGGGATGCTGGCCCTGCAGGCGGTGGCTTTACCCGCTACGCCACAGCGCCGGCCCCATCTGAATTGGTTCTTGCGTCCAAGGGGTCCCTTAGGCACCGCAGCAGTACTTGATGCGGGCCGGACGGCTGTGGTTACGTGTTCGCGAGTTCTCCAGAGGACAGCGCGGCCCCGCGCGGGCGTCTCAGCACCGCTCTGTGCTGGGTCTGCCGCGTCTGGCCGCCTGCTGCCCGCTCTCGTTGGCAGCAGTGCCTGACCTGAGCTTGGCCAGGGCGACGTTCGGGAGGGCGCCCCCGTTCACCAGAGTCCCGGCCCCCCAGCTCCCCGCTCCTGGGCCCGCTGCCTCACAGACATGCGCTGGCTGCGGAACCAGGTGATCGCCCCGCTGACGGAGGAGCTGGTGTTCCGGGCCTGCATGCTGCCCATGCTGGCGCCCTGCACCGGCCTGGGCCCCGCCGTGTTCACCTGCCCGCTCTTCTTCGGAGTTGGTGAGTGCGTCCTGCCCGCTCCTACAAAGCTGCAGTGCACAGGACGTCGAGCCCCGGGGGCGGGCCCTGAGGGGCGGCTGGGAGGGGAGTGACGCGTGCCGGCTTCCTCCCAGCCCACTTCCACCACATCATCGAGCAGCTGCGCTTCCGCCAGAGCAGCGTGGGGAGCATCTTCCTGTCTGCAGGTGAGCGGGCGCCGCGCGGCGTGCTGTGTGGCGGGGGGGGCGCGGGACCGGAGCGCTCGTGCTGGAGGGGCCGGCCTCGGGCGCCAGGGTGCAGAGGACGCCCGTGAGTGGCTGTCAGGGACGGGGTGGCGACCAGCCGAAGGTGCAGGCGTGGTCACTCACGGGGGCGGGTGGCGTCTAGCCGAGGGTGCAGGCGTGGTCACTCACAGGGGACGGGGTGGTGTCCGGCCAAGGGTGCAGGCGTGGTCACTCACGGGGGGCGGGGGGCGTCTAGCCGAGGGTGCAGGCGTGTTCACTCACAGGGGGCGGGGGGCGTCCAGCCGAGGGTGCAGGCGTGGTCACTCACGGGGGGCGGGGTGATGTCCAGCCGAGGGTGCAGGCGTGGTCACTCACGGGGGACGGGGTGGCGTCCGGCCGAGGGTGCAGGCGTGGTCACTCACGGGGGGTGGGGTGGTGACCAGCCGAGGGTGCAGGCGTGGTCACTCATGGGGGACGGGGTGGTGTCATGCCGAGGGTGCAGGCGTGGTCACTCACGGGGGACGGGGTGGCGTCCAGCTGAGGGTGCAGGCGTGGTCACTCACGGGGGGCGGGTGGTGTCCGGCCGAGGGTGCAGGCGTGGTCACTCACGGGGGACGGGGTGGTGTCCGGCCGAGGGTGCAGGCATGGTCACTCACGGGGGACGGGTGGGGTCCAGCCGAGGGTGCAGGCGTGGTCACTCACGGGGGACGGGTGGGGTCCAGCCGAGGGTGCAGGCGTGGTCACTCACAGGGGACGGGGTGGCGTCCAGCTGAGGGTGCAGGCGTGGTCACTCACGGGGGACGGGGTGGCATCCGGCCGAGGAGTGCAGGCGTGGTCACTCGCAGCCTCCGTCCCCAGCGTTCCAGTTCTCCTACACGGCCGTCTTTGGTGCCTACACCGCCTTCCTCTTCATCCGTACAGGTTGGTTCTCGGTCCTGGGACTGGGCCAGGGTCCAAGGAGTGGGTGGAGAGTGGGAACAGCAGGCTTCCTGTCACAGCCTTGGACCGGCTGAGCAGGCCCTCAGCTCGGGGAGGGGAAGGAGGCAGAGACAGTGGAGGGGGCACGGCCTCCGCAACAGGAGACGCGGTCACCAGGCCCGGCGGGGCCCAAGGCGTTGGGGCCGCTCCTAAGCGCTCTGTCCCCCCCAGGACACCTGATCGGGCCGGTTCTCTGCCACTCTTTCTGCAATTACATGGGCTTCCCCGCCGTGTGCGCAGCCCTGGAGCACCCGCAGAGGCGGCCCCTGCTGGCCGGCTACGCCCTGGGGGTGGGCCTCTTCCTGCTGCTGCTGCAGCCCCTCACGGACCCCAAGCTCTACGGCAGCCTGCCCCTCTGTGTGCTGCTGCAGCGCGCCGGGAACTCAGAGATACCCCTGTGCGCCTGACCCGCTCCCACGACACTCCTACGAACTCTACGGGCTCCCGGCCCTCCCCGTCAAGGGGCACTGCAGGGGAGGGGCTGGCTGGGGTCCCCGAGATCTCAGGAATTTTTGTAGGGGATTGAAGCCAGAGCTAGTTGAAGCCCAGGGACCACGAGAAGGGAGCGGATATCCAAAGGGTATGGCCCTCTGAAGGGGGCCGAGCAGCAGCTGGGAGTGAGGGGCCGACGGGCCGAGCCCCCTCCCCACTGCTGCTCCTCTCAGCCTCCCTGCCTCTCGGCGCCTGGAAAGCTGCTCGGGTTCTTCTTTTTTCTTCTTCTTAATTTATAAACCCCTCCCCTCAATTTCCCAGGGTTTTCTCACTGTCTTTTTGCATCAGGACTTTGTATTGGGATATTAAAGAGATTTAACTTGGGTAACACGGCTTCAGATCTTTGGCAGTCGGTCCATCTGGGACCTGGGGTGTGAACACCTGTCCCAGCACAGCCTCGGAGCTCTGGGCAGGGCGGCCTGGCCTCTGCGGCGCCCCACATCCTGGCACAGGTGCACCGGGTATGAGCCCAGCTCACCTGCCCCCAGGGGCGGGGCCTGGCTGTGGGTCCTCCCCCAGCACCAGCAGACTGCAGACGCACCTGCCGGGAGAGGGGCGGGGCCCCAAGGGGGTGGAAGCCCCTGCACAGGCCTGGGGTCCCTGGCTGGGACGGCCGCCCCCGTGCTGCCCATCCGCCCTGGGGGGACCCTGCGCAGAGGCTGCTGCCCCAGAGCAGCGGGGGCTCCGCTCTGCCGAGCGACACGGTAACTCGAGGTTCGTCCCTAGAGCACACCAGTGTTCTCTCTCTCTCTCTCTCGTTCCTCAATGGTTCACACTGCCCCGCCCAGGACTCTCTTCCTTTGGACTCTAAAGAACGTGTGTCTCATTTGCAGACTTGACAGACTCGGCACGCTGCCCGGGTCGCCGTGACTAAAAGGCCGGCATCACCTCACCCACCTCCCACGCGGGCTTCCCTCCCCGGCCCTGATGAGCGTGGCGCCTGTTTGAGGGTACACTTGGGGTCTGGAGGTCCCGAGAGAGAGGCCTGGCTCACTGTGACCTGTGGGTCCCCGAGACTGGGTCCCGGTGACTGCCAGTGTTTCTCCACCAGGTTCCCGTTCTCGCCCCCCCCCACCCCCAGCTTAGGAACTGCCTCTCCACCCCACCTCACGGTGCAGTGACACGGTCGGGGCACGCCTGGGGGAGACAGACCAGAGGCTCCAGGTTCCGAGGGCTGGTCACACACGGTCACACCCGCAGTGAACCAGGGCCCCTCCAGCCCCCAGCCTCCCACCAGTGCACTCAGCTGCTGGATTCCACTCCCAAGGGTCCCCCCACACTGGGACGTGGCCCTGGGCTAACTGGAGCTGAGAGGGCCCAGGTTTAAAGCAGACCACCTGTCCACAGACAGAACATCTCCCCTCTGTGACCTCTGTCCGTGAGGGAGATGAAGCCCGAGCCCCCGCTGCCCTCCAAGGACGGAGGTAAAACTGCCCGCCCACTCGGGGCTTTGAGGGCGGCCTTGCCCTCCGCTGAGCAGCAGGTGGGCTGCAAAGGACCCGGTGTGGGGGGCAGGAGGAAGCCAGCTTTATTGAGCGAATTTCCCAGGACCTGGGCTTAGGCCCCTCCTGGGGGGGAGGGCCCAGAGGCTCAGGATTCAGGTGGTTGTGGTCGCACAGGTGTAACTCAAGGTGGACCCCAGGTCCTGGGCGCCCTCCCCTGCCCTGTAGTCTCCAGTGAGAGAGAGTCCTGATTTGGCAAGAGATGAACGTGAGGAGCCGCCTGCCAGCGGAGACGGGACGCCCGGCTGGCGGGGAGGGGCCCCTGCAGGTGGGGTCTTCCTGGTCCAGGTGAGGCCTGCGCCCGGGGCCAGGCCTTTCCGCTGTCCGGCACGGGCTGGCCTGGGCCTGCCCCGCGAGCGCAACTGCTGAAGATGCGGGAGCGCCGGCGAGATCACTCGATCTCCAGGATGAGGTCGTCGCCTTCCAGTGTCGCGTCCTTGGTCACGTGGACCTTGCGGACTGTGCCCTCCATGGGCGAGGTCACCACAGTCTCCATCTTCATGGCGCTGAGCACGCACAGGGGCTGGCCCTTGGCCACCTTGGCCCCGGCGGCCACCTTGATGTCGACCACCTTCCCCGGCATGGGGGCCCCGATCTGGCCCTTGACGCCCTTCAGGGCCTTGGGGTGGAAGTGCATCTCCTGCAGACGGGAGGGGCTGTGAGGCGCCAGCCGCGGGCCTGTCCTGTCCCCACCACCCGGCCGACCCTGGGGAGCCGCACCTTCATGGCCTGGGTGTCCTTGACCAGGATGGACCGCAGCTGCCCATTGAGCTCAAAGAAGACCTGCCTCTGGCCGGCCCGGTTCAGGTCGCTCACGGCCAGGGCTTTGATGTGCAGGGTCTTGCCCCGCTCCAGCTCCACCTGCAGAGGGCGAGGAAGCTCCGAGCGGGGGCCCGGGCGGGCCGGCCGGCCGCTGACCCTGGCCGCAGGGACATCACCCACCCTGAGTTCGCTCGCTGGCGTCTCAGTGCCCTTTTGCTCCCAAGGCAGGGGGGCTGGGGCACAGCGTGGACAAGCACCAGACCACTGACCTCAAACTCTTCGGCGATTTTGGGTCCCTGCAGGAAGAGGCGCGTGTTGAGGCTGTCCAGGGGGCCGAAGGTGGCAGTGAAGTCCTTGAACTGGGCGAAGACGTCCGGGTACATGGCCGCCGAGAGCACGTCCTCTGGGGTCACCTCGTCGCCATGCCGCTCTGCCAGCTCCTTCTCCAGCACCTGCAGGTCCAGCGGGGGGAGGGAGGCTCCCGGCCTCCCCTCCACCCTGGGCAGGTCCTTTAACACCTGGCGGGGGAGAGAGGAGGTCAGGCTCCGACGCGGGCTCCTGGCCTCCCCTCCACCCTGGGCAGGTCCTTTAACACCTGGGGGGGGAGAGAGGAGGTCAGGCTCCGACGCGGGCTCCCGGCCTGGGCCTCCCCCCACGCCGGCCCTACCTTGGAGCGCAGGGGCTCGGGGAAGCCGCCGTGGGGGACGCCGATGTAGCCCTGCAGGAACTCCACCACGGAGCGCGGGAAGGACAGCTCCTCGGCCTGGGCTTCGGCGTCCGCCCGGCTCAGCCCGTTCTGCACCATGAACTGGGCCAGGTCCCCCACGATCTTGGAGGAGGGCGTCACCTGAGGAGAAGGCCCCGGGAGTTAGGGTGCCGGGCACCGAGGGGCTGTGCAGGGTGGGTGCAGCCGAGCGCACCGGGACGCCTCACCTTGATGAGGTCTCCCAGCATCTGGTTGGCCTCCACGTAGGCCTTCTTGACCTCCTTGAACTTGGAGCCCAGCCCCATGCTGTGGGCCTGGAAGTGCAGGTTGGTGTACTGGCCGCCGGGGATCTCGTTCTCGTACACGTCCGAGTTGCCAGACTTCATGGTGGCGGTGCAGTCGAAGGCGGCGTACAGGCCCCGAGCCCCCTCCCAGTACTCGCTGTAGTCAAAGACGCGCTCCAGGGGCACCTCTGCGGGGAGGCGGGGTCAGAGGAGGGCTCCTCCCCCGGCCGGCTCAGGTCCCACCTTGGGGGGGGGGGGCGGCCAGGCCAGAGCAGGCCCCTGGCTCTGCTGGGGCTGCGGACAGTGCAGAGTCCAGGGCACGCCGTGGGCTGCTGTCCCTACCTGTGTCCAGCGGAGTCCCTCTGGTGCAGGCCACCAGGGCCCCCATGCTGGGCTGTGAGGTCATCCCAGACATGGAGTCAGCCGCCACGTCCACGACGTCCGCCCCAGCCTGGGCGCAGGCCAGCATGGCTGCCACGCCCGCCCCCGACGTGTCGTGGGTGTGGATGTGCAGGGGGAGATCGGGGAAGCGGTCCCGGAGGGAGCTGACCAGCATGGTGCAGGCCGCCGGCTTCAGCAGCCCGGCCATGTCCTGGCAGGAGGGAGGAGACAGACGGTGAGGAGGGGACCGTGCGGGGCCCGTGGGGGGCAGAGGGTCCGGGCCAGGGGCATGGGCACCTTGATGCACAGGATGTGCGTGCCGGCGCGCACCAGCTCTTCCGCCAAGCCCATGTAGTACTGCAGCGAGTACTTGGTGCGGCTGGGGTCGGCCACGTCGCCCGTGTAGGAGATGGCCGCCTCCACCACGGCCCCGGCGCTGCCCGCGGCCTCCATGCCCAGCAGCATGTTGGGCAAGTAGTTGAGGGAGTCAAAGATCCGGAAGACGTCCATGCCGTTCTCTTTGGCCACCTCACAGAACCTGGATGTGTGGGAGCGCGAGGGTGAGCACCCACCACACACACACACACACACACACACACACGCGGCCCTTTACTACCTCCCGCCCCCGCCCTGCCGCTCTGGGGGTGACGTCTGAGGGGGCAGGGCCCCCACGGCAGGTGCACCCGGACGAGCTGTGTCCCCCAGGCACTGCCCGCCCCACGGTGAGCCAGGGCTGGAGGAGCCCACCGGCCCTGCGGGGCCCCGGCTTTGAGCCGCCGTGGGAGCAGCAGCCGGCTCACTTGAAGACCACGTTGTCGGGGTAGTTGGTGTAGCCCACGGCGTTGGCTCCCCGCAGCAGCATCTGGAACGGGATGTTGGGGATGAGCTCCCGCAGCTCCTGCAGCCGCCGCCACGGGCACTCGTAGAGGAAGCGCATCGCGACGTCGAACGTGGCGCCTGCACAGGGACCAGGACGCCGGCTCAGCGCTGACGGGCCCCGTGCCCTCGGGCAGCCTGCCCGCCCTCCCGCCTCCGGTGTCTGTGCCACGACGGTCTAGGCACTGGCGGCTCCTCCCGGAGCGGAGCACCCCGGGCACAGCTGCGCCTCTGCCCCCCAGGCCCCCCCAGGCCTGGCCCGAGCCGGTGGGGGCCAGTGTCCGCCTTCTCCGGTCCCAGCCCGGGTTTCTCGAGGGCGACCTCCCTCGCCCCTGCTGCCCGCGCGGTGCCGCGTCCCACCCAGCAGCCTACCGCCCCAGTTCTCCACGCTGAAGAGCCTGCTGAAGTTGTGGGCGACATAGGGGGCGATCTTCTTCAGATCGTGGGTGCGCACGCGAGTGGCCAGCAGCGACTGGTGGGCGTCCCTGAAGGTCGTGTCCATGAGCAGCAGCCCCGGGTGGTTCCGCACAGCTCGCGCGAAGCCCTCGGGCCCCTCCTGCAGCAGGATGTCTCTGAAGCCAGAGGGGGGTGGGCCTGGGACAGGGACAGGGAGTCGGTGCCCGCCCTGCAGAGCGCAGCCTCCACCGTCCCCCCGTGCTGCCCGGACGGAGCTCACCTACCTATGGGCACCACAGGGACGACAGGGTCTGTGGGGCTGGGGCTGGCCTTGACGGGGATGGGGGTGGTGGGGCCATTCACCATGACGTGTCCTGGGGAGAAAGGGGCCACGCTCAGGGCAGGCGGGCAGCGTCTGGGAGGGCTGGGCTCAGGGCGGGGCGCTGCTTCGGGATCCCCATCCTCCAGCTACCCTCGCCTCTCCAAGCCAGGGCCTGCTGGGTCTGGGCAGGGTGGACCTTTGGGGGCCACGTGAGGCGAGGAGGGGGCGAGCAGGGGCGAGCAGGGGCGAGCAGGGGCGGGGCGGACCGAGGTAGTGCAGCAGCTTCTGGGCCCGGTTCTGCGCGGGCCGCAGCTGGAAGAGCTCCGGGTTCTCGTCGATGAACTGGGTGTCCACGGTGCCCGCCAGGAACTGCTGGTTGTTGAGCACGTTTTGCAGGAAGGGGATGTTGGTCTGCGGGACAGAGGCGGGGGAGGGCGTCACTGCGCAGCCCCCCGGGGGGCGGGGAGGAAGGGGGGGGCCAGCACAGCTCCCGGCCTCCCTGGGCGTCTCCCGCACCCGCACGCTGGGGGCAGTGCCCTCACCCTCGCTGCCCCCCCCCGCGTGCTGCATGCCACCCCTTCCGTTGCCCTCGACCCACAGCCAGGAGCGGGTGCTGTCCCCTCACGGTCACACCATGCTGACACGCCCCGGGCCTGTCCCGAGTGCCCTCGCTGGCTTCCCACACACCTCACTCTCCTGACCCTGGCCCCCACCCCCACGGCCTCGCCCAGGGAGGGGGCCTGCGGCTCCAGTGCCAGACCCAGCGGCCCCAGGGTCTTTGCACACTGTCGACTGTCCTCTGCCCTGCCACGCACGGTTACCCACACGGGCACCCCAGCGCCTCCGCTTCCCGCCTTTCCTGTGGGTCCCTGCTGGAACTGCGCAGGCGGGCTCCTCCCGGGGCTGCACCACTGGGTGCTGCCCGGTACCCGCCTGGCTGCTGTCGGGACCAGGTCTCTGTGCCTCGAGCACGGGGCCCTCAGTTCTCAGTGGCCGGGGACAGCGGGAGAATCTGCTAGAGGACCTGGGTGGGGTCACATGGCCCAGACGCCACGTGCGGCTGCAGCCCTGGCTTCTCCCCACGTAGGGACCTCGGGGACAGTCTATGGCCTGGCCGTGGGCGGGCAGAGTGCCTTCCCCAGGGCATCCCACATGCAGTCACTGCTCAGAGTCCCCCACGCCTGGCCGGCCTAGCACCTACCCTCAGGAAATGGGGACATTCCGCCAGGGCCAAAGCACGCGTCTAAGGCAGCCACTCAAGCCGCCGAGAGAACCCAGAGCCGCACGGCGGGGGGTGGGGGGCCTCGAGGCCCAGGGCCCCATCCTGCCGGACCCGCGCTCCTGTAGTCCCTGGGCCACCTGCCCTCCCCTCTGTCCTGGGAGTGCCTGGCTCCGGAGGACCTCGATCCCAGGCAGCACACACGGGCGCACGCAGGCTCAGGGTGAGTGAAACGTCTCCGGTGCGGAGAAGGCAAAGCATCTGGTGCCACCGCACACGCGCTGACCTGGGCCAGGATCCAGTCCCCTCATTTTGTAAGTGCGGCAGCGGCGGGAGCGGCTCCCGGTGCCGGAGCGAGGCGCCTGGCCGCGGGTCCTCTCCGCTCGACCCTACGGAGGGCACAAGTACTTGCAGTCCCCCGCCCTTGGTCTGCGCGAGGCCGTCCGCCCGGGGCTGCGCTCCGCTGCCATGCCCGGCAGGATAAGAATCCCCAGGCAGCCCGGGGACGAGAGGAGGCTGTGGGAGGCGGCGACTTCCCCATGGGCGCTGACCACCACCGAGGACCCCGGGGGCCGAGCCGGCCGGCTGGGGCGGGAAGCGCAGACCCCGCCTCACGCCAGAAACCCTCGCGCCGTCTCCGCGCCCAGCTCCGCCGGGGAAGTGGCCCGCGGGGAGGGCGGCCGGAGCGCGCGGACCCCTGACGCACCGCTCCCAGCAGCGTGCGGCGCCGGCCTGCTGGGAAGCCGCTCGCGCCGACCAATCGGGCCGCGGGCGGAGGCCGGAGGGAGGAGCGGGCGGGCGCGGCGCCTGCCCAGAGGCCGAGCCCTCTCAGCCCCACCCCGCGGTAGCCTGGCTGGGGGTGCAGCCCCCGCCCCCGCCGCTCAGGGCCCCTGCGTGTTGGGGACCCTCCACGTGACTCGGTGAAGCAGAACGGTTATGACCTTCAGCGCGTGTCTGTGATCGCGAGGGTCCCGGCGACAGTGCGGGTTTGCGCTCGGCCCTGCCCGTGGGCGCGGGGACGTGTGGGTGTGTGGGGACGTGTGGGTGTGTTGGGGAGGGTGCCCGGCGACATGTGACAAAGCCCGGGCTCTGGGAGATGAAGGGGCCCGCGAGCTGGCGCTTTGTCTGGCAGTCTGCAGAGTGAGGCTCGCGCCGCGCGGCGGGCACCCGTGCGGTGCGGGATGCCGGGGCGCCAGGGTGGCCGGGGGCGCGCGCGCCTGTGCCAGGGTGAGTGCGCTGCGGCAGTGCCGGGGGGCAGAGCAGCGGGCCCGCGCCGGCCCGGGCCTCGGGTGTGACTGGGCGCCATCCGTGGGCGCTGCAGCGGCCGCGTGTCCCCGTGACCTCGGGAGCCGGCTCGGGCCGGGTGGATCCCCGCGCGCCCCTCCCCGTCCGCTCTCCACGTGCGTGGCCGCGGCGCGCGTGCCCGCCGGCGCGCACCCGCCCGCCTGTCGCCGCCGCCGCCGCCGCCGCCACCACCACCACCACCGCCGCCGCCGCCGCCGCCGCTAACTGCGCCGGGAAAAGGAGCCGAGAACCGAGGGAGCCGGGGCCGCGGGCCCGAGCGCCATGGGCCGGAAGGCGCGCGACGAGCGACCGGACAGCCCTGGGCCTCGCCCCCGCGGGAGAGCGGCCTGGAGTCGGCGGGGGCCGGCCGGGCCCGCGGGGAGGCCGGCCCGCGCCCCCTGAGCGACCGACACCAGGTGAGGGGAACGCGGATCGCGCAGCGCGGGAGCCACAGCGAGGGGGCTGGGGGTGGGGGGACGCCTTCCCCGCCGGCCGGGGAAGGGGATGGCGCGGAGAGGGGGAGGAGGCCGGCGATTCCAGGGGACGCCCGAGAAAGGAAGTTCCGGGACCCTCCCTGCTCTCGGCCCACCTCCGCTTCCTGCCTCCTGCCTCACCTTGTCCCCTGCGCCTGGCCTGCCCGTGACTACTTGGGAAATGTGACCTCCGCTGCACGCCTGGCTGCCCCTCATCCCTGGGGGGTCCCCTGGGGCCTCTGACCCAGCCCCTCTCCAGGCCAGGCCCTGGGAGCTGACTACAGGGACCGCGCCTCGGGCACAAGTGGGCACCTGCCCAGCCCCACCTGTGCCTGGGCTGTGGCCCTTCCTCGCAGGGCGCTCACCATGGCCCCGCCACTCCTGCTGCTGCTGCTGGCCAGTGGAGCAGCCGCCTGCCCGCTGCCCTGCGTGTGCCAGAACCTGTCCGAGTCGCTCAGCACCCTCTGTGCCCACCGAGGCCTGCTCTTCGTGCCGCCCAACGTGGACCGGCGCACCGTGGAGCTGCGGCTGGCTGACAACTTCATCCAGGCCCTGGGGCCGCCTGACTTCCGCAACATGACGGGGCTGGTGGACCTGACGCTGTCCCGCAACGCCATCACCCGCATCGGCGCCCGCGCCTTCGGGGACCTGGAGAGCCTGCGCTCCCTGCACCTGGACGGCAACAGGCTGGTGGAGCTGGGCGGCGGCAGCCTCCGCGGCCCCGTCAACCTGCAGCACCTCATCCTCAGTGGCAACCAGCTGGGCCGCATCGCGCCCGGCGCCTTCGACGACTTCCTGGACAGCCTGGAGGACCTGGACCTGTCCTACAACAACCTCCGGCAGGTGCCCTGGGCCGGCATCGGAGCCATGCCCGCCCTGCACACCCTCAACCTGGACCACAACCTCATCGACGCGCTGCCGCCCGGCGCCTTCGCCCAGCTCAGCCAGCTCTCCCGCCTCGACCTCACCTCCAACCGCCTGGCCACGCTGGCGCCCGACCCGCTCTTCTCCCGGGGCCGCGACGCCGAGGCCTCGCCCGCCCCCCTGGTGCTGAGCTTCAGCGGGAACCCCCTGCACTGCAACTGCGAGCTGCTCTGGCTGCGGCGCCTGGCGCGGCCCGACGACCTGGAGACCTGCGCCTCGCCCCCCGGCCTGGCCGGCCGCTACTTCTGGGCGGTCCCCGAGGCCGACTTCTCGTGCGAGCCGCCCCTCATCGCCCGCCACACGCAGCGCCTCTGGGTGCTGGAGGGCCAGCGGGCCACGCTGCGGTGCCGGGCCCTGGGCGACCCCGCGCCCACCATGCACTGGGTGGGCCCCGACGACAGGCTGGTGGGCAACTCCTCCCGCGCCTGGGCCTTTCCCAACGGGACCCTGGAGATCGCGGTGACAGGCGCCGGGGACGCAGGGGCCTACACCTGCATCGCCACCAACCCCGCCGGAGAGGCCACGGCCCGCGTGGAGCTCCGGGTGCTGGCCCTGCCCCACGGCGGGAACGCCAGCGCCGAGGGGGCCCGCCCGGGGCCCTCGGACATCGCCGCCTCGGCGCGCACGGCGGCTGAGGGCGAGGGGACTGTGGAGTCGGAGCCGGCTGTGCAGGTGACGGAGGTGACCGCCACCTCGGGGCTGGTGAGCTGGGGGCCGGGGCGGCCGGCCGAGCCCGTGTGGATGTTCCAGATCCAGTACAACAGCAGCGAGGACGAGACCCTCATTTACCGGTGAGCACGCGCGTCCTGCGCCCCCTCTGCTCTGCTCACAGCCGCCCCCACTGCCCCCTCCTGGGCTCCTGACCGCTGCAGGGGCGAGGAAGGAGGGGAGGCCCCCCCGTCAGGTGGCCCAGGCCGGGCGCGCGCCGGGGGCCTGGTCCTTGCATCACTTCTGCCTCTGCTGGTGCCAAGCCCTGCCCCTCCCTGTGTGCGTCCAGCCCATGTCAGCACACACCCATCTGTCATCCGTCCCCTGGTTACACTCGCCAGCCTGTCACCGTGCCCCCTTTGGTGGACACACGCCTCCGTGAGGCTGTGCAGAGCCAGGGTTGGGGGGGTCTGTGAAAGGGGCTCCGAGGGAGGCCCTGGCGGTGGGGAGGCGGGGGAGGAGCTGGACCACGGCCCCGGGGCTCTGACCACCTTCCTCGCCCGCCCGCAGAATCGTCCCAGCCTCCACTCGCCACTTCCTGCTGAAGCACCTGGTCCCTGGCGCCGACTACGACCTCTGCCTGCTGGCGCTGTCACCTGCCACTGGGCCCTCTGACCTCACGGCCACCAGGCTCCTGGGCTGTGCCCACTTCTCCACCCTGCCGGCCACGCCCCTGTGCCACGCCCTGCAGGCCCACGTTCTCGGCGGGACCCTGACAGTGGCTGTGGGCGGCGTGCTGGTGGCTGCCTTACTGGTCTTCACTGTGGCCTTGCTGGTTCGGGGCCGGGGGGCTGGGAATGGCCGCCTCCCCCTGAAGCTTAGCCACGTCCAATCCCAGACCAACGGAGGCCCCAGCCCCACACCCAAGACCCACCCGCCTCGGAGCCCCCCGCCACGCCCCCAGCGCAGCTGCTCCCTGGACCTGGGAGATGCGGGCGGCTGCTACGGGTACGCCCGGCGCCTGGGAGGGGCCTGGGCCCGAAGGAGCCACTCGGTGCATGGGGGGCTGCTCGGAGCAGGCTGCCGGGGGGTGGGGGGCAGCTCGGAGCGGCTGGAGGAGAGTGTGGTGTGACGGGAGGCGGCCTCCCCGTGCCCTGATGAACACGCAGCGTGGGCCAGGGGGCCGGGCGGCAGCTGCCCACCCGGGGGCCACCCCGCTTTTTATCCTCGGTACCTCAGGCTCCGCTGTGTGCTTGGCGGGACAGGGGCCCCTCCCTTGGTCGGGCTCCAGACCGGGGGGAGGGTCAGGTCCCTCTGACAGGTGCTCTCGGCCACCAAGCAGGGCAGTAGCCACCAGGTGGGAGTCTCGTTTCTATTTATAATAAAATTGCTGGGGACACCTCAGTGCTGGCCTGGTCTCATCTGAGGGGGCGGCACGGGGGCCGGGCGCACAGACAGGCAGCAGAGGGCGGGGTCGACTGCGTGGGCCTGGGGTCCCCGGCGCAGGGTGGGGAGGGGCGGGGCTGGGGCCCGTCTCCCTGCGCCCCCCCAGGCCTGCGGAGCGCCCCCCCCAGAACCCAGCAGGGGCGGGGACTCCCACTGCCCCGCCGTCAGCCGGGACCCTGGATGCTCCCTGTTGGGGCTGCAGGCCCGAGACCCCAACTCCCGGCTGCTCTCAGGCTGTGGCTGCGCCTGGAGTCTCCTGCTCCCCTGCTCTCGTCCACATAGGTGGGGGGTGGGGGGGGCAGGCCACCTCTGGTGTGACCCTGGCAGCCTTCGTCCTGGGGCCTCCTGGGAGGCACCAGCACTTTGTGGGCTCAGCCTGCGAGGGGCAGGCGCGTGCAGGCGCTTCATGGAAACCCGGAAGGCGGCACTGGCACCAGGGCCTGACAGAGACTGGCCGTGACAGGCTGTGGTCTGTGTGTGGTGGGCGGAGGGGGCACGGGACCGAGGAGGGGCAGGTGCAGGTACAGGTACAGGACCGGAGCCGCGGGGCCGACGGCCCAGGCGTTGACAGAAGGCTCAGGACAGGGCAGGGGCCAGTGGCCTGGTCTGGGTGCCCATCTGGGGAGGACACTGGCACCCCTGGACACCAGAAACACCTGTCCTGCTACTGGCCCTGCGCTCATGGGCCACAGGGTCCCGTTCTCCACCTCAGGCGTGGGGAACAGTGTCTAAGGTAGATGTTCCTGGCCCTCCGGGGTGGGGACAGGTAGAAGGCCCAGGGGACCAGTTTGGGGCCAGGGTAACTGGTGCTGAGGCCGGGGAGGGAGCAGAGGAACGGGGCCCAACCACGGGGGCAGCCAGGACCCGAACAACGCAGCGCAGTGCAGGGGGCAGGCGAGAGGGCAGAGGCCCAGGTGCCCCAGTGGGGCACACTGGCCACACAGCCCCCCGACACCGCAACAGCCACAGGACACCCGCGCCGGGAAAGCCAGGTGGAAAGAACAGGTGGAGCACAGGAAGTTGGATGCACCTCGGCCAAGCGTGCAGGGCGCAGGCCCCACAGAGAGCCGCCAGGCTCCCCTCCCCCACAGCTCCCGGGAACCGCCCACTCCTCCCCCCACCCCCACCCCCGTGGCTGTGGGCGGTGCCTGGGAGCCTCCCCCGCCCCCACTCCTGCTCACCCTCTTTCTCAAAGGCCTCGGCTCCCACTGAGGACAGGTGAGAGACCGCTGTGTGGCCCTGAGGGGACAGCCACATGCCCAGCCCTGCCCAGCACAGCCTCAATCAGGCGGGGGCCGGAAGACAGCACTGAGTCTGATGCGGCCAGGGGGTGCGGTGGGCGGGGGTGGGTATGCCTGCAGTGGGCAGACTCTCTGGGATCTGGGATCACCTGGCTCGCCCTGCCCTGCCAGACCACTGGATAGGAGGCAGGTGCTGGCTACAAAGGACAACTGGTGTTTCCCGGCCATGAGTTCATTTCTAGCTGCAGCCTTGTACAGAACCCAACCGCTCCCAGCAGGCCACGCTGCTCCCAGAAAGGCACGACAAGCCAGGCCCCCTGGGCCTCCCCTGCCCTGGAGCATGGGTCCCCAGCAGCCAGCCCCTTGCTGTCCCCAGAGCACCCGCGACTCTGCACGCCGCAGGCCAGGGACCCCGGCCGCTCAGGACGAGGCAGCTGCCCAGGGTGTCCACGTTTGCCTGAGTTCCTTGGGGGCCTCCACCCACAGCCATGGAATCAGAATTTCCAGAAGAGGTGCCTGGCGACGTGTGCCACGCGCTCCCGGGGGCAGGAAACACTGGTGTCCCCGAGACAAGGCTGGCGGGGGCTGGGCGGCCGGGGCACCCAGGCATCCGGGGAGGAACTCACGGGAGCTGATGGACAGCGCTGGGGGCCCCGGCACCTGCAGCGTCCGACAGAAGCCAGCAGAGGCTAAGGCGCACCGAGGGCCACAGCGGCCCTGACCCCACCAAGCCACAGCCGCAGCCAGGGTGTGAGGGGCCCTCCGGTGCCTCTCACCTTGACGCCGCGGACGCGGAACTCGGCCAGCGCCCTGCTCATCTTGGTGGCGGCCGTGGGGTGGTCCTTGCCATGGGCGATGACCTTGACCAGCAGGGAGTCGTAGTGGGGGGAGATGACAGCTCCCTGGAAGGCGGAGGCGTTGTCCAGCCGGATGCCCATGCCCTCTCCGCTCCGGAACACCTGGGGAGACGGGCAGAGCCGGTGGGCGCCGCTCCTGCCGGCAGCCCCAGGACGCAGGCTTCTCTGTGGCCTGGGTGGCCACTGCTGCCTCGGCTCTCAGAAGAGCACGGGGGTGGCGGAGGCACACAGGGGAAGGAGCCCTGCTCGTCCCCAGGGCTGTGGCTCAGCAGGACAGCCAGAGGGGCAGGGGCGAAGCCGGATTCCCGACCTCACGCGGCCGCCCGGCTGCCCTCTCACCATCAGAGCCACGTCACAGCTCACCCCGGACACGGCAGACCCAGAAGCTGCCACCGTCCCCGCTCACACAAGACTCCCAGACAGACAGACTGACAGGGACACGGCTCTGGGCTCCGGGACGCGCAGGCCGGCTGCCCAGGCTTTTGCTTTCAACAAAGGCCTTGAGATCCCCCCAAGGTCCCTTCTTGCCCCTTCCTTCCAGAGAGCAAATGGGAGGGAGAGGGAGAGGAGGCAGACAGGAAGCAGACCAGGAGCTGCAGGGGCACGAAGGGAAGGGGAGGGAACCTTCGAGAAGCCAGGGGAGAGGCACGCGCCGGCTCTCCCACGCCCCCAGCTCCCACCCAGCACAGGAAGCAACCCAACAGGGGAGGAGAGCACGGTGGGTAAGGGGAGCCGGGGGACATGCTGCAGCCGGGGGGAAGCCGGGGGACATGCTGCAGGCAATGGGGCAGCCGGGGGACATGCTGCAGGCCATGGGGAAGCCGGGGGACATGCTGCAGCCGGGGGGCAGCCGGGGGACATGCTGCAGCCGGGGGGCAGCCGGGGGACGTGCTGCAGCCGTGGGGCAGCCGTGGGACGTGCTGCAGCCGTGGGGCAGCCGGGGGACATGGGGCAGCCGTGGGGCAGCCGGGGGACGTGCTGCAGGCAATGGGGGAGCCGGGGGACATGCTGCAGGCCGTGGGGCAGCCGGGGGACATGCTGCAGCCGTGGGGAAGCCGGGGGACGTGCTGCAGCCGTGGGGCAGCCGGGGGACATGGGGCAGCCGTGGGGCAGCCGGGGGACGTGCTGCAGGCAATGGGGGAGCCAGGGGACATGCTGCAGGCAATGGGGGAGCCAGGGGACATGCTGCAGGCCGTGGGGCAGCCAGAGGACATGTTGCAGGCCGTGGGGAAGCCGGTGGACATGCTGCAGGCCGTGGGGCAGCCGGGGGACATGCTGCAGGCCGTGGGGAGGGGAGATAGGGACTGGGGGCCAGGGCATCGTTAACGCGCTCGCCCGCACAGGTGAGTGCTCGTGGGGGGCAGAGTTGGCTCCAGCAGGGAGAGCCGCCCCAGGGCATACATGGGATGGGGCAAGTGGACTGCACCACAGTCCTGCTTCTGAGGGGCCTGTGTTCGATAAAAAGGAACTTAATAAAATATTTAAAGGTGAACGCTCAGCTGTGAGCAGGAACTGTCAGCTAAAAATACTCTGTGGTCAACCGGCCTCTGAGGAGCAAGGCCCCGGACACGGACGTGGAGGAGGAGCGGCCGCCGTCCACGGGCCTGGCGGGCTGCTCTCCCCCACTCCCGGGGCCGTGATCCCTCCAGGAGTACCCCCCCACCCCCCGGCAGCCTCCAAGCCTGCAGTGAGCCCCAGCAAGGACTGTCCCCAGGCCCTACCTCAATGCGGCCGGTGTCCGGCTGGAAGCTGCGCGCGGGGTCCTCGGTGGTGACGCGGCACTGGATGGCACAGCCGTTGATGCGGATGCTGTCCTGCCGCAGGCCCAGGTCCGGCAGGCTCCGGCCTTCCGCCACGTGGATCTGGGCGTGGACGAGGTCCACGCTGTGGGGCAGGGCGAGAGTGTGAGTGGGCACTGCAGCGAGGGGTGGTCCAGCCTGCGAGGCGGCTGCCCTCGACTCCAGCCCCACAGCCCTGGCCTGCTCCCTACACTCCAAGAGAGGCCCTGCCGTGTGGACCACACACATCTGAGTGTACACCAACACCCACAGTGTAGACCACCCACACCCACACCCACAGTGTACACCACCCACACCCACAGTGTAGACCACCCACACCTACTGTGTACACTGCCAACACCCACCGTGTACACCACCCACACCCACACCCACCGTGTACACCACCCACACCCACCGTGTACACCACACCCACAGTGTACAACACCCACACCCACACCTACTGTGTACACTGCCCACACCCACACCCACAGTATACACCACCCACACCCACAGTGTACACCACCCACACCCACCGTGTACACCACACCCACACCTACAGTGTAGACCACCCACACCTACTGTGTACACTGCCAACACCCACCATGTACACCGCCCACACCCACAGTGTACACCACACCCATACCCACAGTGTACACCACACACACACACAGTGTACACCACCCACACCCACAGTGTACATACACACCAACACCCACACCCACCCACACCCACACCGTGTATACCACCCACACCCACAGTGTACACCACCCACACCCACACACACAGTGTACACCACCCACACCCACCGTGTAGACCCACACCCACACTCAGTGTACACCACCCACACCCACAGTGTACACCACCCACATCCACACCCACAGTGTACACCACCCACATCCACACCCACAGTGTACACCACCCACACCCACCGTGTACACGCACACCAACACCCACACTCACAGGGTACACCACCCATACCCACCGTGTAGACCACCCACACCACACCCACACCCACCGTGCACACCGCCTGTACCCACACCCACAGTGTACACCACCCACACCCACCGTGCACACCGCCTGCA